TTTCTGAGCTGTTATAGGCACTCTAAGTGTACACAAAGTTGTGGGCACAGTATAGTTATGAAGAAAGTTCCCAAAGAGTTAGTGAATGAAAACAAAGGGCCGGCAGCCAACCATATTTTCTGATATACCCCATTGTTTGTTTGTTGTAGACTTAACGCCGCACTCGGCAATATTTTAGCTGTATGAAGGCGGTCCGTAAATAATCGAGTCTGGACCAGAGAATCCAGCGATTGACATGGTAGATCTAGTCACTTGGGGTACGATGACATGCATCAACCTAGTCAGTATCCTGATCACTCGATCCCGTTAGTCGCCTAGCTCTTACGCCTGAGGGTCATGACACGGTACACTGCCCAACGTTAAACAACCAAAACAAACTATCGTAAACATATATAAAGAAGGGTCAATTTTCTGTCGTTAAAGATTAACGTAAAATGTCCCCCAAACTGCTCAGCAAACAGTATTTCCATATTTCCATAGGTCTCTACCAAAAGCATTGCACCTTTGTACGATTCCGACAATATAACAAGCATGACATTGTGTTTATGAATCACTATACCAAAGAGTGGTGATACCAGGTGTTCGCGAAAAGGCGAGCCTATCCTGCACTACCTGTGGCACCCGTCACAAACATGCAAAGGCAAGTCAATTTGTTTCCTGAAAATAAGCAATACCATGAGGAACGTCATTTTTGTCACTAATGCGTCAAATATGGAAATGTCTGCAATAAAGCTGTTCGAAAGCTTTGCCGAGACCTAACTTGAAGGATGTAAGTACCCTTGATCAAACAACTTTGGGCTAGAGTAAGTCGTAGATACATTGTTCATTGAAGTCTTCGTAGAAGAAGCAGGCTCGATTTTACCTTTAAAGTTGTAAAATTTAGACAGAAAAGACTGGTGCTACTGGAATTATTGTTCCACATATAGGGAAAGTAGAAGTCATCCCTCTTGTCATACAATCTTGTGAAAAGCCATTGAGTGAGTGAGTTAAAATTTAACGTCACGTCGGCATTATTTCAGCCATATCACGACGAGAAAAAGCATTATACTGAAAATAGATATATTTAGTCTGAATAAAAACCTGTCGTCGAAGGACAGTAAAATAACTAGATTTATCACAGATTTTATTTGAAACTAGTAGATAAACATAAAAATATGACACCATACGTAACAAAACAAATTAAAAATGAGCTATAGATCGCCAGCCACGGAAAAGAGATCACCATGCTAGGGTCCATGGGAACTTACAGTACTTTTGCTACCTGCATGGACCCCAGCCGGATTTACATCATCCCTTCAGCTGTTGGCGATTATTGCCAAATTTAGCCAAATTAAAATGACACATATTCTTCGATTAAAAACGTGGTAGAAATAAATTTACTTTGAAAGACGTGGTCTTACATACCTTCTCAGGGGGACAATAATTTTAAACTACTTTAACCCCTTTCGAGGATATAGCCACTAACAATCTCAGTTACTGATTTATTTTACCAATTGTAAAAGTTAATTTATTTATTTACATAACATAATAATCAAATTTATGAAATAATTCTATTTCTTTTTAAAAGAACTAAGAATAAAATGAGTACTTACCTGTATAGGTAAGTACTCATTTTATTCTTAGTTCATTTTAAAAAGAAATAGAATTATTTCATAAATTTGATTATTATGTTATGTAAATAAATAAATTAACTTAAAAAGGTCCTTCATAGCTGAAACTTGGAAATACTTATCCCTTGTGATGGAAAAATCAATACAGTCAAGCAGGACATGCTTGGCCGTGATTCTTTCATCACAAGGGATGCAGAATGGAGGATCCTCACCTTTTAATATATATTCATGAGTATATCGAGAATGGCCAATACGACATCGTCTTAATACGACCTCTTCAAATCGATCTGGACTGATAATCCAAGTAGGTATAACCGATGTTGAAACATACAAGTACTTAAGTACAGCCACTGCACGTGTTCCCACGTTTCCCTACAGACAGACTGCCGATCCATTTGCAAAGAGATGATTTCGTATTTGAGATTAAATTTGACAGTTTGTCCGCTAATCGCGTTTGTTTGTAACTCAGCCAATAATACAATGACTATACTGAATATGAAGGCCCTAAATCTTTCTGACTACAGACTTTTGACCTCAACCCATAATATGGCCCCATTATGAGATGTTAGATATCATCGCACGATCTCCTCAAACAAGGCACAATAATTCATTTTTTATGAATCAATGTAAATAGTTCAAGAAAGAATTATCGTTTGTTTAGTTAAAAATAGTCAGTTAATTGTTTTTTTTGGAAACGTGTCAACAATGGAGTAAGTTATATGCGTACAAGGGGTCAGTTTGTTTGTTTGTTTGTTGTTTAACGCCGCACTCAGCAATATTCCAGCTATATGACGGTCGTCTATAAATAATCGAGACTGGACCAGACAATCCAGTGATTGACAACATGAGCATTGATCCACGCAATTGGGATCGATGACATGCATCAACCAAGTCAGCGAGCCTGACCATCCGATCCCGTTAGTCGCCCTTTAGACAAGCATAGTCGCCTTTTACGTCAAGCATGGGTTGCTGAAGACCTATTCTATCCCGGATCTTCACGGGCCACACGGTCAGTAGGGTTCGAAGAACAGCTGTGCGTGGTGGGAGGAGCCACCCCATCCATGTTGATATCCAGGCCCTCTTATTTGTATAAAAAGCGTGTAATGGGTTTAATATGAAGGCTCATTGGTAGCTTCCGTGTTGGAACCGAATGCATTTATTTTGCGAACGAAAATAAACACATTCGGATTTGACACCGGCCGTTAGTGGTATCTGTTGGGGACTCGGTCAAATGCAGCGGAATAACTTCGGCTGTATCCGTCAAAAGCCCATTCTTATAGTTAATTGACAACATCTTTTCTCGAAAAACAGCGAAGCGAAGTAATTTCTTGTGATTTGTCTGACTTGAAGTCTTGACCTTTAAGCTTGAAATCCATGGCATTTGGCAACTAGTATCCATATGCATCAAAATGTGTTATCTCAAGTGGGAGGGAGTGGTTTCTTGTATCAGTTATCGCATATAAATGGGCAGTAGTCGGGTATGGTCTCCAACACGCTCAAGATGTCACCTGACATCTCGCCCATCTGCCCACCAGATCCCAGCCATCTTGGCAACTGTTTGGTAGCCAAAACACACATCGGGATCTGGTGGTGGTATATGTTAATAGAATACATATGAATTAATATTATCTTTAAGTGACAGTCAACCACAGACGAATTCCTTACTGTTAACATTGACTGACAGAATTTTCGTCTCCCATCAAATAACTTCGATAATGCATACAAAATACATTTTTACTGAAAATAAATAATCTGTATCGAAGGGGAATTATAATTTACGTTCAGTGCGCATTAACTTCTTTATTAGAATTACATTCTCTGGAAACAAGCGTTGATTAAATCACTTCCCCGTTTATCTTTTCTGTCAGCCATGTTTCGCGGGCTGTGGCGATAGTACGTGTTGTTCAAGTTCGCCGAAATGCGGAATATAAGGTATATGACCGAATGTGTTCGGTTGCCGATGCTGTCGGTTCCAACAGCGTCATTGTGGTGATTCCATTGAAAACCTCTGTTACGACGACAGTTGCTGCATTTGGATCGCATTTGAAACTATTCTATCGCACTTAGTAGCTATACATAAGATATTGCTTTCATTAATTCTGATAATTCTTCTTTTCATTCGTGAAGATCCGGGGTAGAATAGTCCTTCAGCAACCCATTCTTGCCGTAAAAGGCGTCTGTGCTTGTAAGAGGCGATTAACGGGATCGGGTGGTCAGGCTCGCTGACTTGGTTGAAGAATGTCATCGATCCCAATTGCGTTGGTCGATGCTCATGATATCAATATCTGGATTGTCTGGTCCAGACTCGATTATTTACAGACCGCCTTCATATAGATGGAATATTGCTGAGTGCAGCGTAAAACGATAAACCAACCAAACGAATCTTTTCATTCAAATAGATAGAGGGCCTGAGATCGATGTAGGTGTTAAGTTACAACCCGCTTTGTTTGATTGTTTGCTCAACCGACTTGTGTTAAGTATAACAATCATTCAATCATGGCTCAATGATGAGTTTGTGGTCATAATTACGGAATCTGACGGAATCTGACTCGATACACAATGCCGAGCGCCTACTAGGCAGGGTAGTAACAATTTTAAGGGTAGTAACAAGAAGTACCTACTTTTAACCTCCTACATTCCGCTCCCCGGTATACTCTCCATACACTAGACAACGGTGGCGGTCTTTAGAAACAACAACCCCCCTGGATTTTTTATAGAAAACATTTTTCCTTGTGAAAGTTAACTTGAATAAGAAATGAATAATCTTATTTGCCCCTCCCCCCGTCCAAAAAAGTTAACTACGGCCTTGTATACGTAAACAATTCATTTATATATTTTATCTTTTGTCGACATTTGTTTCAGCAATTTAACTTCAATCCCACCCTATCTAATACCTAAGAACGTATACTCTATAAATGCTCTATAAATTTTCGTCTGTGATCGACATTCCGCCTTTGTAGAGTGAATTCTAACATGTGCTTTTGAGACTTGTGTTATGTGGCATATAAGCCTGGTTTCAGCCAACAAGTACTAATGCATACATAATTAACTTTAGTCATGTCAAACACAGAACCATCAACCACACCCTGAATGCCCCCTTGGAAACTATTGTCTGTGTCAACATTAAATTTCCCGCGAAACATTGTGACGACAAATAACGATACCATTATTCAAATAGGGTAGTCGTGTTATTGTCTGTTGGTAACATACGTCATGTAGTTAATCGTTCATGTAATTCAACAAGCTGAGAACCACTCTTAACACAACTCATACCGACATATATTAAAACAATTCATTTTTATCAAACGCATTTGTCGTTTGAATTTGACGTGCCCCACTTATACCCCTTGCACGAATAGATTCGCCCATGCAAAACAACTCGGAGTGACACGCACGTGTTAGTTTGGCCCCTTCCGCGAGCAGGACTTACGAAGTAAGCTATGTCGTCGGTCGGAGCTGAAAGTGTGAGTCCCAATTTTCACCCCAAGCCACCTGGTAGCTCGGGGTTTGTGGAGCGAGTGCTCGCCATTCCTCTCGTCAGCTTTGTCGTCACCCTATATGGCATCATCAAGAGAAAGAGTCCCTTGCTTGACAGAGTTTTGAGTCGAGGCGAGCGAGTTTTCTTCATTGTCAAGAGGCGCGTTTCATCCTTGACTCGGGACTTGCCGTTCAAGTTGAGGTCGAAGATAATCGGTGAGACACGATCTGCTTGATATGAAAGTTTATTCAACAATCAAGTTGTTAATCCACGTATATATATACACACCTGGAATAAAATAAGCACCGCCGCTTCTATTTGTTCATATAATGCAATGTATCTTCGAAATATCTGGGGCGGTCGGGTAGCCTAGTGGTTAAAGCGTTCCCTCGTCAAGCCGAAGACCCGGGTTCGATTCCCGACATGGGTACAATGTGTGAAGCCCATTTCTGGTGTCCCCCGCCGTGATGTTGCTGGAATATTGCTAAAATCGGCGTAAAGCCATACTCACTCACTCGAAATATCTGCATCTATTGATCAAATTTTCTTACATGTCTGAGACTCTCGTACATATTAAACGTTAGTGCAAGAAAACTGTCTAGTTTATCAATATATAGTAAGTGGTGGTTATTTTTGTCAATGTGGATACCTGTATATAGTTGTCATCAGCATTTGGAGGTGTTTTATGTTACTAAAAACAGTTCCAAGACCAAACGATTCTTTCACTTTACTACAGATAATGTGCAACGCCCTGACAGATTAGCTATAGTAATATAAATAATCAGGTAGTCCTTAACTTTCTGGTGGCGCGGGTTGCCCAGTCGTTTAAGACGCCGCGATTCACTGTGCAGAGTTGCGTCCCTTGGGCACGCCAGAAACCTATGATTGTGCGTCGAATCCCGGTTCGCCCAGATTATGTATCTAGGTTTGTCAGTACCATACCCATGCTCGTGGGTTTCACTGAAGTGGTAAACATCTGAGACCTGCATCACTTCGGGCTTTCCTCCCACATTAAGCTGACACTCTGTGATATAACTGGAATACTCTATTCTTTAAACCCAACTCACTCACTCCCTTCTTTCAGTCGTATATAAACATGCAAATTTTCTTCGGGCGTTAAACCAAACTCATCAATGCTTGCCTTAAAAAATAAAGTGAGGATTGTGGTGTCAGAATGTGGTCAGCTGAATTTTTTCCCCTTATTTGTAGTGCCAAGGGTTGACACACTTTATGCTGCAGCTGTAGTGAAAGTAACACAGACCTGGTCCACTGTAATTGTGACGTCAAGAAAGGTAAAGTATAAGAAGAAATAAAAAGGTGAAGAGAGCTATGCATTGATATATACTACTCAAAAGAAGTTTAACCCGTTAGGATCTGAGTCAGAGTAGGTCTTCAGCAACCCATGCTTTCCATAAAAGGCGACAATGCTTGTCGTTGGAGGCATATAACAAGATCAAGTGGTCAGGCTCATTGACTTAGATGATACATGACATCGTATCCCAATTGCATAGATTGATGCTCACGATTGTCTGTTCCAGACTCGATCATTTACAGACTGCTGTCATATAGCTGAGCGTGGCGTTAAACAACAAACAAACAAAAGAAGTTCAAAAACGCCCAATGCTTTAATATAAGTATAGTTAATCTGTCATGTCATTTCAGATGCTGCACCGTGGGAAGCGTCGTGTGAGAGGTTTTGTCCAGAGGAAGATCGGTATCGTGCTGTGTTCCCTGCCCGGTCAGGTGGTCATGTGGTCATTAGATCGAGCTTGTGGAGTGAGTGAGGCAGTGCTGTTCTTGGTGAGACCAGACTTGAGGAAGAACAGACAGATAGAGGCAAAGAGCGGACAGAATGGAACTAGCACTGTCATAAGCAAGCATCACATTGAGGTAGAAAGTTGAAGACAGTAGATTTCATATATTGGATAATTTAATGTTATCGCAAGTTCAACTTCTCCATGTAGGCAGAATGTCCAGGAATGTCTCAGGAAAATGGTTGTATGTGTGTGAATATTTTAATTAATTTTTGTGAAGCTTGTTGAAAGTTGTCCAATTTTGTTTTCAGAAACTTGAGAGAGGCAATGCCAAGGGCACATTGTTCAGAATACTTGTTGTCTTTACCAAACCACTTGAATTTCTGGTAAGGGCTATTTCATGGACTATTGAATTCCACACATGTAATAGGCAGTTCATTTAGGTGTTTGATTTTGAGTTTTTCTGAACAGGCTTTTCGCTTTCATTAGCATATTATTAAGCATAAAAACATTTAAGATTTTGTTTTTGTGTTGACATCCTTTCATTGGCCTCTTTAGTCGAAAACATAATGGTAAGCATGAAATAGTGTCCTTGAGCATGTTTTAATTTGTTTCATGTTGGCTCTATGATCGTGCATGATGTCACCTGTCAATAATTTGGTGAATGTAAATCTCCAAGGAGACCAGACAGCCATGGGCAGAAGTTTTGTAGATAATCCCAGCTACGTTTCCATCAAGTATCAATCTCAGCTCTCTATTTTGCCCTTTTTGGTGCATGTATCAGTTATAAGTTTGTCATGCAAAATGAACATGTGATCAGTTAAGTGAACCATTTTGTAGGTTTATATAATGCAAGGTGTCCAGTCGTACCTCCATCACTTAGCAGATACAACTGACCACTCAAAGAAGAATGGCTGCCTGTCTCCGGAAAAGCAGACTGAAATACAGTCTAGGAGAAAGGTAGATGAAATTCCAGTTGCAGAATGACCCTGTTGGGATTCTGGATCTCACCAACCCCATATTTGTCATAAGACTCAACTCAGGATCCCAAATTTAAATAATATATCACCCCAGAAATCTGTACAAAAAAAGGACTAAGTGTGAAACCAACAAACAAACAACTAATGGTATACAATCAATAAATGTTAAAGGTTTACAAATCGATACAAATTACTGCACAGCTATTACAATGGCAGTACACAATAGAGTGGTGGTACAATATTCAATGGCAGTACACAAGAGAGTGGTGGTACAATATTCAATGGCAATATATAATATGATGGCAGTGGGCAGTATACAAAATACAGTGGTGACAGCAAAAGTCAGTAATAATGATATGTATTCACCCAGCGCCGACACCGGCCAAGCTTCAGAGATGGGCCAAGGCAGGGATTAAGGGGTGATGAGTGATCCTCACACGAAAGCTGGTCTTGATGTGATGAAATGTGTGAAAGATGCGTAAGCACACTATTGTCCCCTTTCATACAGCTTAACTAGCTACTGGAAATTTCTACACAGTGCCCTTACCAGCCTTAACGCACAAGAACACAGTATATTCCACCTAAGTCCACGGTATACTGGAAGTTTACAAGCCACATAATAGCATCTAAATAAAGTAACTTACAGACGGCTGCTAACATTAAATAGCACTACATTTTGACAACTAATCACTGTCCAAATACAATGCAATGAGCGTCTACCAAATGTCAAGAGAAACTCAGTCACAATCATTGTTCAACAATAAAATACTCATATGACAGTAAACAATAGCCGACACCCAATAGAGCTAACCACTGCTCGCCGTATTCCGTTCCTGCTTCAGTGACCACCCCGCAGGTGTAGGCTTATGTGGCCAGACTTTTCTTTTGTATGTAAATAAATACACATCTGAAATATGAACAGACAAGCATAATGCAAGCCTTTCGGTCGCTTTACATATTGTTTTGCATGATTGTATGGATTTACCCACTACAGTTAGGTCCATGACAAAAGATTTACACCTCAAAGTGACCGTATATATCGCCAACTCTCCGTTGGTCTTCTAGGACAGGATGTGGAGGATAAATCCCCATATGGATATAGTTTTTTCACGTTTTAGGATATTTTCTCAATGAAAATGTCCTAATGTTTCAAAATGAAACAGATGAAAAAACATGAATGGATTGTGTAAAATGTGATGATGTGACAGAGGTACTCTGCTGGCCGCAAGGAACCCTGGGTAGGAGTGTGATTGGCTTAAATTCATACAAATGAGGCATTTTATTTTGTAATCTAGGCTTTGATAAATGCTGGCTTCTCATCTAATCAAGCTTGCAATTTGTATTTTGTAACTCAACTGTAGCAACACAAACTTTCTCTCTTAACTTTATCCCACTGTGATATTGCTGGAATATTGCTAACAGCACTCTCTCACTCTTAATTTTGCCTCTTTTCAAAAGCAAGACTGAAGCCAATTTACTCTGCACAGCACTTGCGTTGTTGGCTTCACTGTGCAGAGCTATATTGTTTTGGTATAAGAATTGAAATGGACATGTGACTTGGAAATTATTTTATGCATGATTCAATAACACGAACCATCAATATACTTTCCCGTGAAGTATTTATAGGTTGCTGTGATATAACTGAAACACTTCTTACCGCATTAGGCGCCTTGTGGTTAAAGTGTTTGCTTGTCATGCCGAAGACCTGGGTTTGATTAATTTCATTTCTGGTGTCCCCTCGCCCTGATATTTGCTAGGATATTGCTAAAAGGAGTGTAAAACAATACTTACTGACTGCAGCATTGAAAAACAGGTGCAGAATGATTGGTTGAGTTTAGATGATATAGCATCTTCTGCTTTATCCAGTTCATGTTGTAGGTGGTTGACATTATCTGCTGACATTGGGTTTTGAAACTTCTCCGTTTGTTTAAGTTGCACTCTGAACAGTTAAATTAATCTTATTTTATGTAAAATGTATTATGTTTATCTTTCTGTCATAGGTGTCGCCACGTAAGAAGATAAAAACTGGATTAGTAAGCAAGTTTGAGAGGACTATAAACTACTTTGGCCTGGCAGAACTGATGCCTGGACTGAGGCGCAAGTTTCATATAGATATCAGCGGACACAGCAAAGGTTTGATATTTACTTTCATGTTATTCGTGAGGCAGAATAGTATCCAGATTTTATTGAAATTGTGCTAAAAAATTTGTAGGAAAAACAAAACTCATTAAAATCAGATCTGAGTTCTCGCTGAGGACGTCCCATTACGGGTCACATCAAAACGACCTTTCCCAAACTTTTACTGACCACTGAAATGACTAACAAGAAGTCGACATCAGCCAATTATAAAGCAGCTTTCTCGAGTTTTACGGCAATTGTTTCAAACTGGCGACTTCCATTTCAGACCATGCTTGAAAATATGTTGACAAAGTTCTCGATTAAAATTTTGAAAACTGAACAAACATTCTGGAATGTCTGGTATATGGTTGAGATTGTAAAGCAGTGCTTCCCACGTACTGTGCAAAGCCTCCTCGGTTCAAATGTTTATCCCACGGAAGCGAGAGATGGACAATAATTTTGACGGAATCAGTCGTACGGGCTGTAACTGTCGTTCGGAATACCCTGACTGTCACTTTCATGATTTGTTCTGTGACGCTTTGATTGGTCAGATGAAAGGTCTTTCTGAAATGACCCGTAATGGGATGTCCTCAGATCTTTATTTAGCAGTAACGAGAACTCAGATCTGATTTTAATGAAAGTCGTTTTTTTAGGGGGGTGCAAAAAATGTAGGCTCAGTTTTTATTAAGAAGTACATGTGTATCTGGTTTTGCTGGCTGAAGAATATCTAGTCTCCAAGCAGAACAACTACTCTTCTACATGCAAGGATAATATTGAAAGAATATCCAGAAAACTGCCATTACAGGACAGTTGGTGACAAGTCCCAACAAGGCAGAGGATGAGGAGAAGAAGCGCAAATACGAAGACATTCTGTCAGAGTCGGAATCTGATTCCGAGACTGAAGACCTCAACAACATGGACCTTGACAAGTATGTCAGTGATGAGGACCCAGATTTTAAGGTTTGGACACTAAATTAACCCTATTTCACCTCACCTCTACTTGACCCTACTATTCCTTGGAACTTATTCACTGCAGAGCTACATGGCTCTATTCAGGTCATGAGGTAGCCAAGATGCCAAGGTGTTCACTCGTCAGGCAAAAGGCCTGTTTTAGATTCCCAACATGGGTACAATACAAGTTGTCAACCAATCTCAAGAGGTATACAGTGTGATGTGCCGTGTGTTACACAGACAGGGTACATCTTGCCATATGCCCCAAGGGATTGGTTGGCAATGAACATATGTCACTAACATTCATTCATACAAACCCGGAATATGTGTGTAAACTTTCACCAAGTAAAAAAACTTTCAGCCATTTTGGCAGCTAGCAGACGACAAAAATGAACCATGTTACTTCCCTTTACCCAATACATTCGGATAAACATTGGTTCATATCACCTCAAAGATACTTATGCAATATAAGCAAGTTAACTTAAGTGTATTCTGAATGATTTCAGGGCGGGCTATATGGAAAATAATTGCCTGCTCCTTAACCAATCAGAAGTTAGTGTTTCAATGTAAGGGGAGATCCAGTCTGGTGTCCCCAATGTGATATTGCTAGAATATTAGAACCATACTCACTGTGCACCCCATTGCTGGTCCTTAGAGGCAATTACATTGGGAACCTGTGAGGATTTTAGAATTGGTCCCTTGCAGTCTTTGCTTGTTTATAACAGGCAGGGGGCATGGGTGGCCCAGCTGTCTCTGGCACAGCGATTCGCAGCGATTACCTTGAGCAGGTCAGCAACCTATGATTGTGGGTTCTAATCCCGGTTCGCCCCGATTATGTTTCTAGGTTTGTCAGCACCATACCCATGCTCATTGGTTTCACCGACATGGTAAACGTCTGAGACCTGCATCACTTGGGGCTTTCCTCCCTAATTAAGCTGACACGCTGCGATATAACTGGAATACTGTTAAAAGTGGTGTTAAACCCAACTCACTCACTCAATTATAATAGGCAACTTAATCATGTTAATGGATCAGTAGATGACTCGATTGTACAGACCAGGCTCGACTTGGTAGATAGCGTGCATGCTGCAACGCCAGTGAAGATCTGTGTTAGAATAGATCTTCAGCAACCCATACTTGCTGTTGAAGGCGACTACGCTTGTGAAAGACGAATGGGACGGATTGTCAGGTTTGCTGACTTCGTTGATTTCTTTGATTCATGTCATCATATCCCAATTGCGTAGATCGATGCTCATGGTGTCAATCGTGTGGCGTTAAACAACAAACGAACAGACAGCGCCAACTCCAACTCCAACAGCATGGATAGTTGCTAATATCAGTCACGGGGTTGTCTGATCCAGTCTCAATAATTTACGGGCACCTGAAATATTGCAGAATGCACAGTTAAACTCTCATGTCTGTTCAGTTTATGCTTTTTATCCCCCTGCCGGGCCTGAATGTCCGAAGGTGGATTATGTCGTGGCACAGTCCGTCCGTCCCACAGATGGTACTAAGCTTGTGAAATCAACTCCTACAGTTTCCAGAGAATATCCCTGAAACTCTACACACAAGATGTCAACATGTTGATGATACGCATATCGCAGTCCCGTTTCATTTAGAATAATTTTGACAGAGTTACTGCCCCTGTTTTATGGAGCTTCATGAAATCTACTCCTCCAGTTTCCAGAGTATATCACAATATCTAACTATAACTATAGTTAGTTTCCTTGTTTAAGGCTTTTGTGGGTGAGATACATCCTTATGGCATTAGCATTCAGACTGGATTACTCCCAACAAAATGTTCTGCACAATTTGTTTCAAATGCAGTGCCATCTACTGTTGTTATTTCATAAAATACAAAGAAAATATAAACTCGTTAAAAAAGTTCATGCAGGGGATGTTGTGCTCTCAGAGCACTCATGTATAAAAAGATGTTCGGTAAGCATTTCAACAGAAGGGACACAAGGGAAGAGAATTTTCCTTCAACCAAAGGTTAAGATATTTATAGTCCACTACTTCCTTGTTTGGTAATTACATGTTTGTATTGTTAGGCCAAGAACTGGTGTGAAACAGATGGAATGTCAAAAGTAGCTCTACAACTGTAGAGACAATTCCAAACAAGCTGCCATAAAATCCCCCCTGTCCATCACTTGTTTGATAACTTTTTGATAATTTCCAACAGTGCAGGTTATTTTGCAGTACCGGTAATGTTAGCAAAACATAGCTTCACTTCCATGCAGGGTGGTAGGGTAGCCTAGTGGTTAAAGTGTTCGCTCGTCATGCCAAAGGCTTGGGTTTTATTCCCCACATGGGTACTATTTGTGAAGCCCATTTCTGTGGTGATATTGCTGGAATATTGCTAAAATTGGCATCAACACCAACTCTCTTCAGGTTCATGCAGCTGATGTTGTCTTGTTTTCAGCCCAATCAGAGTGGAAACAGCACAGACAGTGAGGAGTACCGAGAGGGGGATACAGAGAGTGACATTGAGTTCGAGACTACTCTTGGCGGCACCATCCAGGTGAAAACCCGAACCAAGGTAGGACCATACCACATTACACAGTGTTTTATATAGGATTTCAAATTATCCGTTGCAGGCAAATTGGGAATATTTGTCGTTTTGTAAAACATCTGGATAGTTGGAAAAGTTGTTTCTTAGCTTCAGAGGTTTTTCAATTTCATACAAATCAGATCTTGGTTCTCACTACTGCTGAACAAAAATCTGAGGACATCCCATTATGTCCAAAGGATCTTTCATCACTTAAATCAGAGCGTCGCTTACCAGATAAGGAAAGTGACAATCCAAATGTGTTTTCTAATCATGCTACCTCGAAAAGGTTAACATGGGGTTTTCCCAATGACAGTTAGGGGCTGTATGACTGATTGCATCAAAATCCTAGTCTATCACTTGCTTCAGTGGCATTTGAATGAAAGAGACTTTACATATCCCATAGGAAATACTGTCATACATTCTAGGCCATCTATTAAACATTCTAGAAATGTTTTGTTCAGTTTTCAAATTCTTAATCGTGAACTTTGTAAATAGTCGCCAGTTTGAAACTAGTGCCATACAGCTCAAGAAAGCTGCTTTCTGATTGGCTAATGTTGACTTCTTGTTGATAATTTGTTTGGTATGTCAAAGTTTGCGAAAGGTTGTTTTGGTGTGACCTGTAATCATGGTAATGACGTATCGTCCGAGAAATTGTTTCGCGGTGATGTCAATCACTGGATTGTCTGGTCCAGACTTGATTGTCTGGTCCAGACTTGATTATTTGCAGACTGCAGTCAAATAGCTGGAATATTGCTGACTGTGGTATTAAACAACAAACAAACTTCAGGTTAAAGTATGGCAATATATTGCAATAAATTCAGGTCAATTCACAGCGATACGTATTGCAATACATTTTCATGACTTAATCAGAGTTATGCCCTGTATTAATGTCAGATACCATCAGTCAGTGTCCCTCACTATTTTTCCTTTTCCCTCTGAGAAGCTTGATAGTCGCGTTGTGTACACGCTAATAGATAAAAAGTGGGAGAGGGAGCATGGTTGGCCCAGTCGTCTAAGGCGCTGCCATTTGCTGTGCAGAGTTGCATCCCTTGGGCACACCAGAAACCTATGATTGCAGGTTCGAATCCCGGTTTGCCCCGATTATGTTTCTAGGTTTGTCAGCACCCTACCCGTGCTCGTTGGTTTCACCAAAGTGGTAAACGTCTGAGAACTGCATCACTTCGGGTTTTCCTCCCACATTAACCTGACACACCGCGATATAACTGGAATACTTTTAAAAGCTGTGTTAAACCCAACTCACTAATAGATAAAAAGATCGTCAGAGGCAAGTTTTATCAGAAAAATACTGCTTTCCATCTCCATATCAATTAGGAACACATAAATATACTTATATTTGCCCCAATATATTGCTACATTTACAAACATATCGCAATCTGTAATGCTGAGAATTTGCACCACAATATACCAGTATACCAGTAATACCGCACACACTACACCTTTAACTTCAAGGTTATGTGCAGGTTCCTTTTATGTTTCACACCAATACATTGGTAATTTATGTGACCCCTACAGAAGATTGGCCTATGTTTTATCTTGGATAAATTTATATGACCAGGGTGCAACCTGGATCAGTCAGGTGCATCTTGGTTATCATGTCAACATGCACCTGATGCAAGTTAGATCAAGTTCCTTAAATCAAGCCCTGCGCTTGTGAAAAGAGATGGTATCTCGGTGATCTGGCGCTTTAAAACTGGCATAAGTACATACCAGGACGCATGTATGCACATCTCTATATGACCCGTGAAGATCCGGAGTAGAATAGGTCTTCAGTAACCCATGCTTGCCGTAAAAAGGCGACTATCCTTGTCGTAAAAGGCGACTAACGGGATTGAGTGGTCAGACTCGCTGACTTAGTTGATGCATGTCATCGATCCCAATTGTGTGGATTGATGTTCATGATGTAAATCACCGGATTGTCTGCTTCAGACTTGATTATTTACAGACCGCCGTCATATAGCTGGAATATTGCTGAGTGCGGCATAAAACCACAAACAAACTTGAGGTCATCACACAGTTGGTACTTTAAGTAGGGCTGTGTATTGACCTGGATTTTATATTGCCATACTTTAACCTGTATTGTGGTACATCTCTATATGACTTCAATGTTGAAAGCGACATTAGATCCCGTTTCAAATCACTATCCCTCTTTCTTAGAAGTATGGTTAGACTCCATGCACGATGTTTTCAATATTTGGATACTTCATAATAATCATTTTTCTAAACTAATAACATGTGTTTTTACTTGGCAGTCTCAGTCTTCTAAAAGCAGTGTCAAAGATGGAGGCAAAGAAAACAAGGTTAGTTTTCTGAATAATTACCATGAGTATAAATTTTGATAAGACTTGGATCATGTTAATCACATGTACCAGGATTTTAACAAAACTACTTTCATTTACCCCAGGTCACACTCAGCCTAAGTACCTGGGTGCCGTTGTACAAAACAATCTTAGCTCTACGACTGTCGTAAGCATGGTAAGTCTATGTTAAGGTATGGGAGCTACGATCACCTTAGCGCTAAGATCGCTTTGTGCAACGGCACCCTGGACTGTTAGTGACATCAGAATATCTCAGCATTTATTTGTCGTCCCATTAAGGGAACTTTTATAATACTAAGACAATTTACATTTGTTTTGTACACATTTACTGCCTGTAATTTAGAGTTTTGTTTGTGTTTATTTTTGAGTAAACTTGTTGTTGTGATCTAAAATAATGGAATGAAATGTTTCTTATTACTGTCTTTCCAAAGCCCGACACCGCTAAAGGCGTCGACTCCTCTCGTGCCAAAGAACAGGTTTGTACGCTTTGGTGAAGAATGTAAATGTACTGTTGAAATTGAGAAGGCTTCTATAGTAAGGCATGAAGTGTTTAGATAATCTGTAAGGACAACAAGTACGGCATGATTGGATGCCACATACAATTCAAAGATCGTTTTCAGATTTCACCAACATGCAGTAAGAATTAAAATGTAGGACTGCATAGTATTATTGGTATACTGCAATACGTTTTTCAATTATGAATTACAATATTGCCTTGAAGATCCAGGGTAGAATAGGTCTTCACAACCCATTCTTGCCGTAAAAGGCGACTATGCTTGTTGTAAGATGCAACTTATGGGATCGGGTGGTCAGTCTCGCTGACTTGGTTGATGAATGTCATCATATTGTTTGATGAATGTCATCATATCCTACTTGCTTGGAATGATGCTCATGGTGTCAATCACTGGATTGTCTGGTCCAGACTGGATTATTTACAGACCAGTCATATAGGTGGAATATTGCTGGGTGAGGCGTTAAACAATAAACAAACAATACAGTGTCGAACACTCCCAATATGTCGCAGTACAGGTAACTGTATCACAATATATTTCAATACGTTTTATTAGCTTATACACAGCCCTAGTAAAATGATTGTCTAGCTTCATTTTCTGCCATGATAGTGTCAACTGTTTCAGACTAAAGCCTCTCCGCTTAAAGCTGCACAAGTTTCTGTCCGATCTCCCCCGAAATCCACCAGCAAGCCCACAGCTCTCAAGTGCAGCACGCCCAAACACACCGCCGGTAAAGAAAACTCTGCTCCTCAAGAATCCAAGCCTAATGTGTCCTCAGGACCTAAAAAGGCCACAGACTCTAAATCTGCACCCACTGAAGCTGGAGATAAGAAGCCAGATCAAAAGAATAATCAAGTGGCGAATGGAGATAAAAAATCGGAAACCAAAACCCCCACAAATGGTAGTAAAAAGGTAATGTCTACATGACCAGGCTTCTATTGGGAGTTAAAATGATGTAAATAAATGGACTCATCATGATCATGGAAAACCACTCACTCGCTCGCTCGCTCACATACATCTGATAACATGAATGTAAACATTTCTGGTCTTGAAGTATTTCCTGAATTGATTCTGGTATTTGTTGCTTCAGCATATTCTGAATATTAATAACCTAGCTTGTATCTGCAACATTCCTTGCCACCATGACCACTCACAGTTGCATGCCTGCAATTGATTTTTGTCCAGAAAAGCACACCTTTTTGGAATGGTTACTTTTTATTTTGCAGGTCACCAACGGGGACAAGAAGTAAAAGGAGAAAGGTACTAACCCTGATGACCCGACAGCCAATGATTGATCAGAACTGCAACTTTAGAGATGAGATTGATCGAAATCGAGTTGCTCAATCTCGTTTTCGCAGCCTCCAGGAGAAGTGTGCATGTGCCTGTTGCCCTGTGAGCTGAGCAGGAAGTGCTATGTCTACGTCTATACCAACAGCTGCATGATCCATGCATCTGTACATACAGGAAACCTTTCATCTAAATGTGACATAAAACAAACTGTTATGTAAGATTTCTTTTGTTTGTTTTGTCTTTCACAGTACCCCATGCTTTTCATTCATTCAAGGGGGCGGTCGGGTAGCCTTGTGGTTAAAGCGTTTGCTCGTCACGCCGAAGACTCGGGTTCGATTCCTGACATGGGTACAATGTGTGAAGACAATATCTAGTGTCTCCTGCCATGATATTGCTGAAGTATTGCTAAAAACGGCGTAAAACCATACTCACTCACGCATTAATTTAAACTTCTGTAAAAATGCTGGAATCACCAGTTTCTATAAATTTCTTACTGCAATCATTTAGAGGTTTTATTTGGTTTTGAATATACAGTAATCATGTTAATGGTTAATATTAATTGTTGAAGCAGAGGAATACAGATTTATGAAGAATGAAACTTACATGGTTTGACTAGATAAAGAAACATCCTGTTGACATTTCTCAATCTGTCAAATATTCAAAAGTGGTGCCAGGGACAGGATATGCAAAGTACTCAATTGCTAATTATACAACGTTCACTTGGTCAATTGTCACTGGAACTCAATCTTAGTTTTTAAAACATTGAAGTTAAAACCAGTTAGATATATGTAATATTTCATTAATTAACAAACTATTTACTATTTGTTGTTTACCAGCGGGGATAACGGGGTATGTGAGCTTTGCTCACTTCTTTCTTGTTGACCAAAGCTTACAGGGCCAAACAGCGCAGAGGTTAAAGCTCTCCCTACTGTCTGTGATCTAGACTTGGTACATATATAACACAACTTGAGGCCAAAGCTCTCCCCACCAAATACCTACTGTCTGATCTTGTTTTTTTGTGTTCAATACACCACTTGGGCAGGGCCTCGTGGTCAAGGGGCTGTCAGTGCCATCTTGTCTGTTTGTGGTGCTGTTCATTGTATTTGAATCCCTTATTGGCCCTGATTACGATCATTGGTTTGTTGGCACCATTGCGTCTGTGGGTTCCCCCATTATTGGATGGCATGGTATTAATGAAATAGTGTCTGAAAGTAGCTTTAGATGCAATTTACTCAATCACTACACAATAATCCACCCTCCCTGTTGCTATCCAGGTAAGGGGTATTGAGTGGTCTAGTTGCCAAAGGTACAGCAATTGAGTGCACCCCCCCTGAGGTGTGGCAGAATCTCAATATGGATTCGCCAGAAATACACTGACGGTACCCAAGTTCTGTTCCACCAAATGGTTAAGGAGCGATCACTTTCAACTTTTCTACCGCAATAAGACACGTGATAGGACTCCAGGTCTTCGTCAAATAAGCCTCTAGTTTCTGTACAGTGATCATGTAACAGAAGCTATTAGAAAGGGAATGTTTGCCTTGCAGTATTAATATAGAATATCACATATCAGCCTTAATACCGCATATACGCAGGGGCTTCTACAAATGTGAGGTATGCTTATTGTCAGCCTGTTCCTTTATATTTAAACACATTTTTAAAACAAACAAGGGAGGGTGGGTCCTCTCATCACACCAACGACCTGGGTCAAATCCCCACATGGGTAAAATGTGTCAAGCCCATTTCTGGTGTCCCCAGTGATATTGCTGAAAGCCGGTCAAAACCATATTCACTCCCCCCCCCCCCCCCCCCCCCCCCCCCGGAATACAAACCTGCAAGATGGCAGACGCAGCTGGAAAGTTAACTGACAATACTTAAGTATGTGTGCAATTTCTTGTAAAGGAGAGCTGGGCTAGCTAAGTGATTAAGACATTCGTCACTGGAAGGCGTTCGATTTCCCATATTAGTCCGGCAGAGAAATGAATATTTTCCCCCAACCCAGAATTAGGGGATAAAGTTTTTTCTATTGCTGGATTTGTTTAATGATGTACTCTAGATTATGAAACTGACTGATGACACTCTGTCATCTTTGGGCATTTTGAAATATTCAAGATGGCCGCCAAGATGGCCGCCAAAACATGAAAATATCGCTTCCTTGCTAACAGTATGGAATATGATACCACTTTTGGAGTAAATCACTAATATTTTGCTTTCAACTAATTAGAATATGGTATTCTTAATGAACTGGTATCATTTCAAACATAATTTGATTCTTAAATAAGCAAGATAACTTGCAAAATGCCTGTCGAAACATTATAAAGTCAACAAGCACGGCATTCTTTTTAAGGATAATTGATTATTCTGAACTTTCAAAAATGAATATTGGCTCAAGGTTTTCTTCACATACATACAATCAGTTTAGGTTTCTTCCTCATCAATAACACGGTTAGTGAGTTGGTTGAAGCAGACACTGGAGCTACAATGTAATAGGAGAAGGCCTCGTAAGTGTGTCACTTGTGCCTAATCCATTTGGTTTTCCGAAATAAAATATGTTTAAATCAATACCGCCGCTGGTAGTTTAATTTGAGAAAAATAGCAGGACAGTCAGCTGTCGGGGCTATGGGTCAGTGGGTGATTGACGATTTGTGATGGCGCCAGCTGATGTAGGAGACGACACACTTTCCAAATTATTTCTCAACCTTATCTAATGCTAATTCAACAAGAGACACATAGTTTTTGATAGAGGCTTCTTGTTATAATATTTTGTTGATTAAAATATGTAAAACTATGTATCTCTGGCTGTCTTGTCATCCCTTCATTCAGTAAAGTGGACTGTTCCAACTACCCACATTACCTAATTATAAATCTCATCCAGGCATGGCATACCCACATCAACTAATTGTATTTTGGTACCTTGTGGGGAGAAATTAGGCGATCTGGGAGGACACCGTTATATCATCTAACATGGCCAACTCTGCTCTTAAGTAAACAAGAACCTAATCAGTGAGGGGTCCTTTATCATCCATATTTGACTGCTTATAAAAATCTTATATCTCTCCTCACAGCTGGTTATTATATATTTTTGCTGCTGAATATTCGAAACAGAGTGATTGAGTTGGTACAACACATGTATACGGTTCCATTTTTAATGACTGCAGCGCTCCATTATGAAAACAAGTTGTTTTAACGCCGCTCTCAGCAGCATTCCAGTGATATATGACGGCGGTCTGTTGTATATGAAATAAATGCAAATTGAATCTTGAAAGTTGCAGCTTTTCCGCAAATCAGTATCACATGCAGTATACAGTATATCAACTGCAATATACTGTATACAACATGCAGTATACAGTGTGTCGCGAGCTCCGCGCTGGGCTGGAGCACACATTTCCTGCCCCTCTCCCTTCTGCAAACACCTCATGGGGGGTGTAATGAGGTCACAGGTCAGGCGTGCACTTGTCAGTTGTCTGATACGGTCAAGAGTAAGATCTTCCGGACTATCACTGCACTAGAGGAATGTGGATTGTTGATGAGGTACAACGTGTTTGAAACCGGGAGTTGAACACAAAGCACTTATAGAGATGAGCTCACCATAAAACGTTATGGACTCGCGGACGGACTTGTGTTTTCAATTCAAGACGTACATGTATCAAGTTGAACTTCTACGACAGATATAACTTGGTTACCGCTTCCTAACTAACATGAACTGAACTTTACGCCTTTTATACATATTTGTGATGGGGCGACAATGCGACAACGAGACATATTTTGACATTGAAAAATGTCGCGTTACGGCATTGTCGCCCTTTTGTGAAATGTAGAAAAAGATTATTCAAAGAGCGACAATGCGACAACGCGACAATGCGACAAATGGCCAAAATATCGCGTTGTCGAATTGTCGCGCTTTGGTTAATTTCGACACGTTTTGCTTGTTTTTGTAAGGGCGTCAATGCGGCAATACGACAACGCGACAATGTCCCTTCCAAGATTCCATAGTGATCCGTGCAAATAAAACTGAGTTATGAAATAGAAGTTTAACATGCCAGTTAAAAGATAAAGTGTAAAAATGCGCTGATGAGTTCATCTGCATGCCGAGTCTATACGCTGTGATGAACAATAATGCTCTGAGCCAATACATTTTGTCAAATATATGACATGTATTACCTGTAGGAACATATTGCGTATACTCGTCCATGTTTTTGACGGACAATATAATTTACATGCTCGGTAATAGTGAGGACGGGCATCATTGTGTGTTTCCGTGCTTTGTTCAGGTGAACAATTGACTTGTCCTTGCATGTGTTTGTGACGGGTGACACCTGTATGGCAGAATACGCTCACCTTTCGCGAACACCCGTTGGATGGCCTGAACCACTTCGGATTTTTACCCTACATCAGTCTGATACACAGTGATATAACTAAAATACTGTTCAAAGTGGTGTTTAATGCGATCACCGTAGTGTGTTACTGCAACTGTCCAAATTTTGTGTAGTGATGTTATGTAATATGTAAAATAAAGCATATTCAATTATCCAATTGATTTGATTAGAATATACTTGCGTCAGTGTATTTTATTAACGCCCAAAACCGTATTTGTTAAACACATATAATAACAGATCATATACACGCATTGTGCCTTGACTTACTATTAGCTTTAATAGGCCATTCCGGAATAAAATAGTTCCCCCCAAAGCGAGGAACATCTGTTTTAGTTTGTTTACAAGAAATGTATTCCAAAAAATATCCTCATTAGATGAGAAGGTCCGTTAAGAACTACCTCAGGAAGTCAATCACAATGACAGAGCGTTGTAATACATTTACATCAAGTACAAAATGGCCGACACGATAAACGTGACGGGAGATATTTCCGAAGTTGTTAATTAACCTGTGGCGATTTCAAGCCTTTGTCATCACTGATCAATTGGCCGATCATTGAAAGGTGATTGTAAAGATGTGTCAAATAGATACTAAGGTAAACTCATAGATTGCTGTAGATTGTCACTACGATAGTTTGGATTTTTGGGTTGTTTTTTTTTTCTCTAGGATGGGTATCCTTGAACGGGCATGCAACCAAACTCTATGACTTATCCCAGAGTATGCTAAGACGCTACGTTCAAAATTAAAGGGACTAAATGATGAAAAACAACGCTCCTGTATGAATTCGTACTTGGGAATTCCCAGGGTTTTCCCCAGGAATGTGGAAGTAGTCAGTGTTTACGTAATTTCAAGAATACAGTCACCTGATAAACGTCACGTGACCCACCTCTCGTCCTATGGAAAAGCCGTATATCGTGTAAACTTCACATTACAAAATTAGTTACTGTTATAACCAAATGAAACACAACCCATTATCCGATAGAGGTAACTGTGCATAGCGGAGGGATATGTTATCTCAATAAACTTGGTAGCATGGTTTGGTTTGACTTCTTGGCGCGTGTCTGAATTCCATTACCATGTTACATATCCTAAAACTGACTAATCAGCAAATCTCGCTGCACTGCGCGCGACAGATACTAGAGCAAGGCATGCCAGAAATACGAAACCTAATGCTTCCGAAAAGAAGCCTTGGGCATCACGTGCGTCGGGGGACCAGCGCCATCTGATTGGCCGTTAACAGTTGTACAAGGCGGAGCAAAAAGCATCGTTTTTCCGTCCATTTTACGCTTGAAAAATTCGACGCTTTTCCGGACACTTTCCAGACGCTAACCAATTAATCAGTTTTAATGAATTTTTAGTCGTTTTTCCGTCCGATGACCATATACGGAAAAAAACGTCGTTTTCGTGTTTGCAGTGCATGCTGAGATGTCAAGTTCAAGCTTTGAGGCAGCCATTGAAAGGGACCAGTCATTAATTGTTCCATTCTTTTTTTCCTAAAAAGTTGGCCCAATCTTTTTTGGCCCATTTTGTTTTGGCATGAATTTCTTAAATGTATTTAACACAATTTAACATAAGCATGTGTATAACAGACATAATAGGTTTTGCTTTATTTGCACCTCTTTTGAGGTTACTATTATTTTTATTTATCTTTATTGTTTTTTATAATTTGATTTCAAAATGCAGTGGGAATTTATCTTATTTTGTAACTATAGAACATTAACAATCGTTAGAAAATTCACAAGCATCCCAGTTGACACTGAATAATATAATAACAAATGTATATATAACGATATATACTGATTTGGGGGCTTTCATAGACAATATTGCCTTTTATTTTGATTAATTACATTTCCAAATGAAACTATTTCATTAAGAATAACATATTCTAATATGTTGAAGGCAAAACAATAGTGATATGCACCAAAAGTAGTCCCATATTCCATACAATTAGCACGGAAGAGATATTTTCATGTTTTAGCGGCCGTCTTGGCGGCCATCTTGAATATTTTAAAATGCCCAAAGATGACAGAGTGTCATCAGTCAATTTCATAACCTAGAATGTGTACTTAAACAAATCCAGAAATAAAAAAAAACTTTATCCCCCAATTCTTGGATTTTGTCCTCTCTGCCGGACTATATGGGTATAATTCGTGAAGCACATCTATATTGCTAAAAGCTTTGTATAACCCAACTATGAGTCCCTTAAGAAATATTTCGTCTTCACACTGTTTGATGGATACTTTATGTCCACTTTGTATTTTCACACATTTCCCCTGCACAGGGATATCTTCCTCACATGCATGGTGCGACCCGTGAAGATCCGGGGTAGAATAGGTCTTCAGCAACCCATTCTTGTAAAATACAGCTAACGGGATCGGGTGGTCAGGCTTGCTGACTTGGTTGATGTCATTCACTGGATTGTCTGGTCCAAACTCGATTATTTACAGACCGCCGTCATATAGCTGGAATACTGCTGAGTTCGGCGTAAAACATCCAACTAACCAACCAACTTCTTGAAGTTCTTGAAAAAAATATAATCAGCGGTATTCATGTAGTTACTTGACATAATTCCAAGTGCGGCGTTAAACAACAAACTAACCAACCGACATGCATGGAGCATCTTGAATGGTGGTGAAAATCGAGAGCATTCTTATGATTTCTTGAAGTCATGAAACGTTTATGGATAACATATGATAATTATAATGAGTTTGTGACCACGTTTCAGGGATCATTATTGCTCCTTCAATCGGTTGAATGATAGTTCTTTTCCATAAAAGTTTCATGTCCTTCCAACTTCTAAATGCCCATCAAAAACTTTATTATCGGAATCAAACATTCATTTGACTGGTCCGGAATTATTTATTTACTGTATATCGGATGAACCTCTCGTCTGATTGGTTGTGCACATTTGGGTCACTTAATCCTGGCACCTGAGCGTCTGTTCGTATCTCATTTTCAACCTGATGTATTGATTCTTTGTCACGATAATACTGTGCTCATGGGTTTTTCACGAAAAGTTTTTTTGTTTAACGCCACACTTCAACATTCAAGCTATATGACGGCAGTCTGTAAATATTCGAGTCTGGACCAGACAATCCAGTGATTGACATCATGAGCATCGATTCACGCAATTGGGATACGATACCATGCATCAACCAAGTCTGGCCAATTCTGACCGGCAGTGTCATTCAATGTATTCACGTCTATTTCACCTAGGGCAATTGCGTGAATCATGTCAATCACTGGATTGTCTGGTTAGGAATGGAATATCGCCGAGTGCGGCGTTAAACAACAAACAAACTTGAGGCTTCTATCCCACATTCCACTGACAGTGGCGAAAAGGCCAATTTAACTCTACCACTCATTCACTTCCTCTCATATCAGGCAGTCACGCCGTCATATGGTTCAGGTAGTTTGGTTTAACACCACTTTGAATAGAACTTCCAGAGGGCGCAAAGCAAATAAAACATCAGAAAACTTTAATTTGTCTTTATTTCATATATTTATTTAACGACAAAAATATACGAGATAGATATCTGAAGGTTCAATGAGAGTTGTTAAAATGTTTCAATTCATAGGCTTTGCACTGTCAAATTGTTACTTAATTTCAAATGTCTTTGTTGTACTATCCCTGAGAGCGCAACTTAATCAGGTTCTATTTTCAACAGATGTGACACAAGCAAAGGTCCATTATAGAAAATGCTCGTGTCACTTTTACAAGACAGCGACTATCTACATGAGAATATTTGAACAGAAGTACTTCAACATATATATACAGAACACCTAGAAGCGTGCATATCTGGCAGCCATTGGTGAAATTGTGAATAGTATATTCTGAATAGTCCTGTTCGAATGTATAATATAGATACATTGTATCACATGAGGTGGTTATCAGCAGTTATAAACTACTTGTGTACCATACTGTTAAGTTTGTTATGTATACAGGTAGTGTATAAACGTATGTTGAGCTATGTTAAATTTTGATTTTGGCTGAGGTGACTTGGAGTTTTGAAAAGTGTATCACGTGTGTAACTTAAGTGTTGGAAAAAGAAAAACGATATTGTGAAAAATAGAATTTCGAGTGTTTGAAATCAAGGTATGCATTTTGTGAGAACGCTTGAATTGGGATGGGTGGTGGAAGAATATTGCTAAGAGGGTACATTGTTTTCTGCGTGTGATACAATATTAAGAAGAAAAGAGGTGTGTCATTTGTAAGTTGCTGAGTGGAGTGGGTGTCCATACCGGCACTATGTAGTTTTCATGTTTGAAAATCGGGGTGTGGAAAAATATAAGTTTGGGGGAGTTTGTGACACAGTAAGAAATGGGCAAGAATACACTTGCTTTTAAGCCGGTGTACCATATTGTACAGTGGTAATGTGGGCCAGTGTTTCATTATTGCAACGATTAACGTGCATTTTGTGACGCATTTGAGAATAGAAACGAATATCACATGATATATATATACCATAACACAAGCTACACGTCAAGACAAATACACGTAGTTCAGTGGCAGCATCAGCGATCAGTTTATAATTGTCTCTACGGTGACTACAACAGGACATACATAACGACAAGTTGACATAGTGCTTGTGTGGTGTGTCGTTTTAGTGGTAAACCAAAGCAGTGTAATTTATTACAAACTGGTAATTCTGCAATGGAACGTAATGCAAGATCATTCAAATCTTCCTTTAAAATTTCAATAGGTCATGTTAGTTGTTTGTCCACACACAAGCTTGTTACCTTGACATTGTGTTACAGCCAGAGTACTGTTGACAAGCTGATGCGTTATGAGGAGAGTCGATATTGTTTACAAACGACAGGACACACACTGTCGGGGTTAACACTTCGGCTATTTGTGCATATCTACGCCTAGAATCACAGACTGTTTAGGTAAAATATCAATATAACAACAAAAATAATTTTTTGAAGATCGACCTTCAATTTGACAAACTGTAGAAGCATATCCCTTCTTAAATCAGATTTCTCCTTCTTTTGTACAGTGTGAATATTATAATCATAACAATAGAACGCCACTGACGTTGAACAGCTTCCATAGTTTGTCATCTTAGATATTTCAACCCCTACACCTTTCTCCATCCCCCTCCCATTCACCTACCACCACCATCCCTCCCCTCTGCAACACCCATTGTTTACCACCCTCGCTTCATCTACCATTGGTTCTCATATTGTTTCTACACACCGGTCTTTTTTCTTCAAGTCTCCTGCCCCCAACCACATCCCACCCCACCCCACCCCTCAAATACCACCATTTATCCCATATACTTCTGGGGCGCGACTGGCTGCGACCGCTCCAGTTTGACTGCCGTGTCTCTTGAGATGTCACCCACGTAGATGTCGCTACCGTCATGGGAAACGGAGACGTCATGAGGCAAGCTCCGGTGCTGTTGAGAAAAAATGCGTGAAGGAGTCAGGACGGTGTAGAGAACGATCAGACAAAATTATTTGTAATTGAAAACCGACGACTGATGCACCAACTGTAATGAAAAAAAGTCGGGGATCATGAATATTACTAAAAATAAATATCCCAAAACATATTCATGGTCCCTAACCTTTTTTGTTCAGTATATTCGTTTTAGAAGTCCTCGTAATTTGTTTTTCGTGATCATCTTTTGGTACGTTTGGTTCCAAATTCAATTTCCGTAACCTTTACCTCTGAATTGAAAACCCGTTTATCTCTGTTATCAGCCAAGTGTATTTCCGTAAATAATATACAACGACATTGTATTAAGAGAACCTTTATCGAGAGTTATACATATTTGATTTACACCTTGTTGGTTTGTCTTATACTGCTTTCATCTCTTTCAAAGGGGTATTTATTTATCAGACCCATTTTCGTCATGCAATCAACGCCTTTGTTGCCACTCCGATTACTCTGCGGATCTGGGGGCACGGGTGGCCCAGTCGTCTAAGGCGCTGCGATTCGCTGTGCAGAGTTGCGTCCCTTGGGCACGCCAGAAACCTATGATTGTGGGTTCGAATCCCGGTTCGCCCCAATTATGTTTCTAGGTTTGTCAGCACCATACCCGTGCTCGTGGGTTTCACCGAAGTGGTAAACGTCTGAGACCTGCATCACTTCGGGCTTTCCTCCCACATTAAGCTGACACGCCGTGATATAACTGGAATACTGTTAAAAGCGGCGTTAAACCCAACTCACTCACTCACTCTGCGGATCTAACATACACACAGTTGGGCGTCCTTATGGTGCCTTCTGAAATACGTCTCATGTCTAGATATGGATATCTAATAGTATTTATATAAAAAATACAAATAAATGGTTATAAGTTTGGTGTATAAACGAATAATAGGAGCATCATTATCCAAAGTTGTGTGGTACTTAAGAAGGAATCACCAGTTGTTTGCCTATGTGAGAGCTACGGTGAGGCGAAATGGGGTTTAACGTCGTGCCCAAAGATTATTGCACGTTGCGACGTGGATGTGGATGTGGATGTGGTTTCATAGTGCTAGCCCACTGAGATGTTTAACGCAGTTTAACATGAATACCCAATTCAGACAGTGTATACTGACTCCGAGCCGACCAGTCCTAGTTTTATTACCCTTATGCCAATCGCCAGGCAGGGTAACGAGTACAATCTTTCAACGTTTTTTGGTATGACGGGCCAGGGTTCGAACCATCGACCTTCTACTCTCCAGGCAGACACTCTATCCACGAGATCACGGAGGCGGTCTTAAGGGCCTCGGAGTAATTTGAGTTGACAATAAAAGGCATTAATTCTACACAGAATGTAAAACCGTAGGAATGCGTTGTATGAAGTCCCCAGACACTCCGCCGTGTCATGCTACACAATGGTAAGATCCCTACCGTGTTGTCGATCCACCACTCCTCAAGTCCCCGGCCGTCCAGGGAGATGGTGTACCCCCGGGCGTGGTCCGCGTTCGTCTCCGGGTGCACCACGGCGTAGATGACATCACCTGTGGACGACAGTGAGTGAGTGAGTGAGTGAGTGAGTCGGGTTCAATGCCGCTTCCAACAATACTTAGTGTATTAATATGATCCTCCGCCACGAAGAGGGAGGGGAATATAGGAATGGGTGCTGTCCGTCCGTCACGTTTCGTTTCCGGAGCAGAACTCATAAACCATGAACGATATCTTAACCAAACTTGGCACATAGATACGTCTAGTGCATGGTGAACTGGTGCCTTTTGATAGTCTGGGATTCTTGAAAAAAAATTTTTTTCGAGTTTCCATGGCAACGACTTTGACTTAGGCTAAAAATGTTGGTATCGGTGGGGGATATGAGTATTTCATACTTGTTTATATGGCGTCAGATTATAACCCATAGTTGAGCCATGCGACACGAATTGAAACCCATTCTACCCTGGAATCCCCATGGGCATATAAGATAGATAGGACCCTTCTCAGAAAAAAATTAAGATTTTGGAGTGTAAATTAACAATTGAGAACAAGTTCATGTGAGAATATCAACTGCAAAATATCAATATGAAATACATCCTCCAAACGATGCGCAAGAAGTTGATCTCTCTATTTACAGAAAAGTGCAAACTCAAATTATGGTAATCGATGCTACGTCTATACCTTCAGATGACATTTACTGTGTTCTACAGCGCATAGAATGTTGCCATCATGGGCGCCAATATCGACTACCGTCGTTTTAACACAACGTTAAGCTTCTGAATTCTCCATTACTGAAGATAAAGAATAGTGAACAGTTAACACGGGAAAGAAACTGATTTGCCCTTTCAGGGGCAATTGAAAATTCATCTTACATGAGCGAGTTGCTTCATACGTCAGATTCGTTACTTCTTGAAGTTCTTGGAATAAACGTTAATCAGCGGTATTCATGTGATTACTTAAATATTATTCCACCATCATCTCCATCAGTGTATAAATAAAAACAATCGTACCTAGCATGCCAATTTGGCTTGTGCCAATAAATCGTATCTGTTCGTCTGTCTGTATCTGCTTAAGTCTGTGGACTGATTGTCCTTTTAACCTAGATCATCCCTTAATTATTAGTAGATAGGTAACTTACTTCATGACTAGGCTAGTGTAAATGCGAGGCAGTGTACGAAACCCGAGTGTCACAACACAGGTGGCCTCGCTTGTTGAGTAGCTGCCGAAATATCACAATCCGCCATAATTTCTAAAGTAGTTCCGGCAGGAAACATAATGCAACTACGGGCATAAAACTGCCAGGCGTTTCTTACTTCTGCGTGTCATGTACGGAATAATACCTGCATTCATTTCACAACTATGTTCTAGCAGGATGACGCTTAACATGGGTGCGGAATGACTCGAGTGATTAGGTCAACATGTTCTACGCCGTTGTCAGCCATCTTTGTGTGACGTCATTAGGGCCGGTGGATGAGCCGGGGTCGCTACACTTAGCTAACTAGGTCATCTGAAAGTTTTTCTCGAATGTGGCCTTTTTCTCAGACATATTCATGCTGATACATGTTTCCCCTCTCTCACAGAGGGGCGGGCGGGTAGCCTAGTGGTCAAAGCGTTTGCTCGTCACGCTGAAGACTCGGGTTCGATTCCCGACATGGCTACAATGTGTGAAGCCCATTTCTGGTGTCCCCCGCCGTGATATTGCTGGAATATTGCTAACAGCGGCGTAAATCCATACTCACTCACTCTTTCATAGAATATATATCATCTCTTTCATAGAATATATACCATCTCTTTCACAGAATATATACCATCTCTTTCACAATCCGTAACATGTAACAAAACAAAACCTTGTCAATATTGTTGACATGTGAAATTTAGAATGGCCTACCTGTAGGGTCGTATGTGATGGCGTAGACGTTGCCGATGGCGTTTTGAGGGAACAGCGTCTTGATAAACTGTCCAGTCTTGGTGGCGTCTTTCAGACCGGCGTTAAAACACTGTACTCTGCAAGTAAAGGAATACACATTTAACATAGGTACCAATGTAGTGTCGAGAACATGAGTGAAGGAGTAAATGTTGTATTATGCCGCATTTGACAATATTCCAGCTGTGAAAATAACGGCCTGAAAATAATCGCGTCTGGGCAAGGCGAACCGTCGGTTGACTGTACCGCAACGACCCAGGACTGCTACGATGATCAATATACAGGCAGCCATGTACAGATTGTAATACTGAGACTACCAACCCCCTTTTGGTGCGCGGGAGTCGTTGGTCTATTTAGATTTGTTTGTTTGTTGTTTAACGCCGCAATCAGCAATATTCCAGGTTTATGACGCGGTCTGTAAATAATCGCATCTGGACCAGACAATCCAGTGATTAACATCATTTGCATTATTCTACGTAATTGGGATACGATTATATGCATCAACCAAGTCAGCGAGCCTGACCTCCAGGCCCCGTTAGTCACTCCTTACAAGCATAATCGCCTTGTACGGCAAGCATGGGTTGCAGAAGACAGCATATCAGCAGGTATATGGGATGGATGTGAAATCGTCATTATCCTTTTTGGTATGCAGCTTCAACATTTAAAAAAGAACTAGTAATGTTTATATATTTTATGTTTTTAGTAATTCAACCTCAAATCGCACCCTTATATGACTGAGGAACAGTGAATTCTGAAATGTGCTTTTGAGATTTGTGTGAACTAACTAGCAGTCGGGATTAAGGGATGAGCAAATACGATTCACAGTCAACAATTAGATGGTATTCGGGATTCTGGGGAGGGGGTTGGCGTGGACACCCTCAAGATTTGTAAATCAAAGCTTAACCGTCACCTGGCATCCTCTCTGTCGGCCACACAGATCAAGTCCTCCTTCTCCACCAGGGCCAGGCTATGGGGGACCTGCAGGGCCATGTCCGTCAAACTGCCGCTCGCTGGAACATGACAAGTCGGTGAGTTAGGTTGACGCCGCTTTGAACAATATTTCAGTTATACCACGGTGTGCAAGCTTTGTTGTTTAACGCCGCACTTAGCAATATTCCAGCTATATGACGGCGGTCTGTAAATAATCGAGTCTGGATAGATCAATCCAGTGATTGGTATCATGAGCATCGATCCACACGCAATTAGGATCGATGACATGCATCAACCACGTCAGCGAGCCTGACCAGCCGATCCCGTTAGTCGCCTCTTACAACAAGCATAGTCGCCTTTCACGGCAAGCATGGGTTGCTGAAGACCTATTCTACCCCGGATCTTCACGGGTCCTTGATGTGCAGGTTTAAGACGTTTACCACTTTGGTGAAAAGCACGGTATGGTTTTGACAAACCTGGAAACATTATCAACTCAAGGCGAATATGGGATTCGAACCCACGAGGTTTCTAAGGAATGCAACTCTGCACAGCGAATTGCGGCGCTTTAAAGGACAGGGAGACCCGTTCCCCTGCTGGGAATACTAGGCAATAGCAGGCAATTGTTATTGGGGCGGTCAGTTTCCCACAAAGTTTCTAAACAATCTGACCTTACACGTAGACCTTTACGTCGCCCTCTTTCATATGTTATACATAAAGCATATTTAAATACTTTAGCTCTGTTGAAACATATAATTTTTTTATCATGTTCGTAAGTTCCCCCCGAACTTTATTGTTACAAATTTATTTGCTTTCCTACAGATGTTTAAGCATTGCGCTCACCTTTCTCGCCCCATGTCTTCAGAAGTTTCCCTTCCTTGGAATATTTCATGATTCTGCTGTTGCAGTAACTGAAATAAAGCGAATTAGTGCGTGTCACCATACATAAAGCTACAACAACGTAAATGTTTCCCTGAAACCATTGAATGACTTTACATGATCTCAGGAACTGTATTTCAGATATGGCTATGTGCTTTTGCATGTTTGTGGAAATATAATACCATGGGTGTAAAGGTGCAGACAAGGTCATTAAACTTATCATGACTTAAAGACGCAGACCGATTGCGTTATCTCCCAGTACAAAATAATAGGAGAATATTTTTACTGATATATTTTATCATATTACCTTATTCATATATTGCTTTCAAAACGTAACAAGTCATGGTCTATGCATATCGTGCTATGGGGAAGGGGTCTAAGCATATCGTGTTACGGAATGGGGCAAATGGTCTGAGCATATTGTGTTACGGAATGGGGCAAATGGTCTGAGCATATTGTGTTACAGAGTAGGGCAAATGGCCTAAGCATATCGTGTTATGGAATGGGGCAAATGGTCTGAGCATATTGTGTTACGGAATGGGACAAATTGGTTTAGCATATTGTGTTACAGAATGGGGCAAATGGTCTGAGCTTATTGTGTTACAGAGCAGGGCAAATGGGAAGAGGGTATTTACACGCGAGGCCATCGGCCATGATAGACAAACCACCCTACCCGTCTGAGACGAAGAAGTCTCCATTACTGGCCACAGCGACATCTGTCGGCTTACAGAAGTGTTCGTTGTCACTTCCGGGTTCGAACTTAACCCCGAGTACCATATCCGGTTCCTTGGCACCCTTTGGGAATCTCATCACCTGGAATATACACAAGGAATGCGTCACACGAGTTTATCCGCTTACACTGACTGAATACCTTCTTAATAATAGCATAGTTAGAGGTTTTAACGTATTGTCTCGTGAAAAACAACAACTTTCCTTCCATCTAAGCTGCGATGAAAACATCTTCAGATTGTAGGGTCTGTTGTGCTTTAGGTTTTTGATATCATAAGTTGTTATGCATGTTTGTAACAGATTGGTAAGAATGTTAAATATCTCCGAGACTGATGTTATGATCGAGGAGAGTTGTTCAGTGAGTGGCAGATTGACAATCTGTATATGGCGGTTTTCACAATATCAGTTTGCTTCAAGGTATGAGAGTATCACAAGCCTCAGGGAATTTTTTCTGTGTGTGTATTTTGTACGTTCAGTTTGGACAAATATGGTTATCGTGACAGATGTGTGTATGCATGTGTGTGTATGACTGTGTGTCTCTGTATCTATGTGTGTTTATGATTGTGTGTAAGTGGGACTGTATGTGTTTTTATCAGTCCAAAGCATTAAGACACACATTCGATTGGTACTCGTTATCATTCAGTCTTTATATCTAAAGGGCATATTTCCATTTTATATTCACTACTAACTCACTCTTCTGTATGATGCGATTACATGGTCGACTTCAGGGACTCGGGACACGTATTGTACATGGATTTGTTTTAGAATCTACCGATTCGGCCAGGGTGGAAATTGGACTTTTAGAGTCAGTTAACTCTCTTGCCTCGGGAAGCTGTAAGAGCACTTGTATTAAAAGAAATATCTGTCTATTTCTATATTATGTAAATTAAAAAAAAAATCAACCAATTTTAATCGGATATAAAATGCACATGCATGGTCATTTTTTACTGTATTTTGGGCCGGAAGCCTTTCCCGGAAGAAGACAGCAAGTCTTAATACATGAGTATATTTCTGACAAAAATAATAACCCTAATCAATACCAAACACATACATAGTAGTGTTAGTCTGGTGTTGTGGTCGTCTGGTGTTGTGTACTTTGTGGACCTGATCTCAACAACATATGTTTGGGATGTTTCTGAGAACAGGCGGGGAGCTTGGTCGATATCACGTGACCTACCTGGTGAAGCGCGACGTCAGTCACCCACAGGTTGCCATGGTTATCAAGTGTCAGACCGTGTGGCATGTAGAACCTGTCGAATAGAATCACGTCCGTGTCAGAAGTAGGTTAGTTAATATGCAAACAAAGAGTGAGGTTGTTTTAATGAGCAGATGTTCACAATTCAGTGGTTTTTTGAAGTGCACTCACTTAACTACTCATTAATTATACTGAACCGCAAAAGAAACGTCACCCCAAGTAACATTGCATGAAAAGTTGTCATTTAGATATCAGCGTAAATTTTGTAAAAGTTTCTAAAATTTAACATTACCTTATCCGGAAAAATGAAATTTGATGATAAAAACAAAGCAGATGACAATAAAACCGATCGCCGAAACGCATCACGGGAACGGCCATGGTAACCCGATGCAGGTGAGTTCCGTTCAAATTGAAATGCACATCCGTTCCCCCATTTCTTGCCCTATAAAAATCCATCCAGATCGGATAACATTCATTCGTTATTGAATTGCTACCACATGCCAAGATTGACAAGAAATCAGCGACACCGAGCCCTTGGACGATTCCCCCGCCGTGATATACTGCGGGAATATTGCTAAAAGCGGCGTAAAACCAAATCCACTCACATGTGTCCGTTTGAATATCATAGTTATAAAAACTGAGTGGAGATATGAATTGAAATAGACTTGGTCGAGGCTAGGTAGCAAAGTGAAAGATTATATTCGTAAATTTTTCAGAGACTATAGTTAAACGTTCTATTATAGCAGGCATTTGGTATACATGTCAATGACTACATCTGTCGCTCCTGTATTAATTTGTTACGCTGATAATAAAGGTGGGAAAAAAATCTGTCGACAGATGCCAGGTGCGTTACATACTGTGTCCGTCTGTTTGATGGTGTATGCCACAACATGTCGCTCTGACATGGCGCACGAGTTCACACACAGAGCAATACATAGAGCAATACAGAAGGGAATTGCTAGACCAACAAATATATGAAGAGATGCATATATACCACCCCACTTTTGATAGGGATAATTATTTTATTTCCTTGAAAATTGATTTTTCATAATAATTCCTGGCAGATTTCTCACAACTCGAATTGTAACGAGGATGCATCGGACTTCGTTAACCCGAACTCCCATATTTCGAAATTTCGTTGTCTCAAACTACGGATAACTCAATACATTTCTACAGCCACCAGTACTTAGAGTTAACGACATTTCCTTGTAAGTAATGAATATCTATGCTAAATAACGACTGAGCCCACCAGAGTAACAAACACGACATTTAAATAAGGGACCGGCTGGGAATTTTGTTTGAGGCAGAATATTTGTGTTAGTCTGTGTTTAAAGACACAAATTTCTTTCATTGAAAGGAGGGTCGAAACAATATTTTTTCAGAACATCTAGCTTGTCCAAAAACGATTTTATTTTTGTTTGTTTTTATAAAAACCGAGGCCCAAACTATTATTTTGTAGTATTTTCGACTTCAGATTCATTATTTTAAAAACCCTACCAACCCCCACATAAGAATATCACGTCAGTCCCATCTATGACTGGAGGCGGTGAGGGTAAGCAGTACACAAGGTGCTACTGGGGTGAGGGTGGGGAGTACACAAGTGCTACTGACGTGTTGGCCCCCCGGGCTGCCACCTGCTTGCCGGTCCTGCCGTTCACGATGACGATGGTGTCCTCGGGGATGGGGCCCTGGTCCTTCTGAGCGTAGGTGTTGTTGGGCAGGAAAGACCTGTGAAAGACACAGGGAAACAGTGTCAATACTTAGTTACTAACACCTGTGCAGTAAATCTCCTTGGATGTTTAGTAAATAAAAGCGACAAAAACCGTTTTCATTATCATAAGAAATATCTACTCAAAGTTCTACGATTAACGCAGCAAAATCCCTCAATATAAAACAAAAAGCAACCCTCTCTCCCTCTTTCTCCCTTTCTTCCAACAAATAAAAAAGACGAAGAGACCCCCCCCCCCCCCCCCCCCCCTCTGCGCATCAGTTGGACCCCGCACTTACTCCACGGTCCAGCGCCTGCTGCCTCTGTGGAACAGGTAGACATCACCCCCGGGGCCTGCCTCCACCCCCGTCACCTGACCCAGCTTGATAGAGGAAGAGGGCCATTTGGGGTTGACCACCGGGCCCTGGGACTGCAGCTGGGCCTACAGAGCAAATAGGAGAAAGAAGATGTAGCTGTGTATGCATCTATAAATTACACAAGTCGTATTATAATGACACACTTTAATAGTTGTGCTTGCATAGGTCAACGGTTTTTAAATTATATGACAAGTTGTAAATATTTATTACAAAACGGATACTATTTGTGTCTTCAGCGGTCTACATAAATAAATTACATGAATAGCCGTATTGTAATCATGCATACACTGGATAATATTTGCTTCTGCCTTGGTCAACATGCACTAATTATCAGCTGTATTTTATCATTCCCTTCATATAACTATGGAATATATCTGTGTGCGAAACACTGCATGCAAGTTCCAAAACACAGCTATGAAGCCCGTATCAAACACATCACTATGGAATAACCATTTCTTGTTTAATTGTAGCCGCCATCAAACATGGGTGTATTCTTTCTTCTGCTAGGCAGTTTATATCCTTCACATGACAAGCCGTTAAAATAATTCATTGGGTGTACAAGTTTCATCGGTCACTGCATAGGTCAGCTTCCGGCTACACCTTTCTGTCCGCATGATGGATAACAGTTTGCATGTAACAATGACAGAAAAGCTTTAAATGACAGTCATTTTCTCTATGACAGATTGTTTACACGTCTATGCTCCCTGTGGATGTATGACACATGCTGATCCACAGAAGATAGGACACAGCACGTTACTCAGTCATCTACAAGGAAAGAATCTAAAATAACACAATCGTTGCGTTTCGCTGTTTTTAATCCGTTTTGTTTTTCGTTTTACTTATTACGCATCGAATTCACATATGTACCGATATATATGAATACATACATAATAAACGGAATACCAGAATAAATTTATGGGTGTGGTAAATATATTACGTGTATAATACGTCCTACACACTACCATATACACATACTACCAGCCCTGTGAAGATGGAGTACACTGGTGTGTGAAATATTGACATGCCTCGCGGTGTTTGAATTCTTCCTATTTGCCTGTATTACAGTCCTGTCATTGTGTGACGATAACATATGTTGTTCAATGTGCTCGTATCACAATATGTTCATAGAAAGAATAACACTTACTTGAGGTGCGTCTCTGTAGGCCAAGTATTCGTCAATTAGTTCCTCGGGCAAGTCGCGGTAGTAGGGATAAGCAGCCGAAGTGACAAATATGGCACACACACACGCTGCTAGGAACGGCGACATGGCTCGCCAAAGTCGACTGAGAGACCACACTTTCACCAAGAGAATATTCAGGCCGGACGTTGATTGTAGATAAGGACTTTGTAATCTTCTACCATACGACAACACACCGAGTCACAACACACCGACCACCGTCCAAAATGGAGCCACTACGATTATCATAATATTAGTAATTGTCAATGACGCACTGACAGTTTCCGTCGCTTAGCAACCCAAGTAATCGATTGGTTGGGAGAATCTGTGGGCGTTAAGATAATTGATCTCCAAGGGAGACAACACTGCGGCATTTTCATTCAAGACGAACAATGATGACTGATGTTTTCTGCGTCACGTGATTTATTCTAATTTGGGTTGGACGGCGGGAGATGAACGTACACATTGCGACGGTGGTCGATCGACAATTCAGCAAACTTATTTTTAACGGTTAAGGAACATCCACAAAAATGGATTGTGTGAGAAGTAAATATTATGAATTTATATATTTCAATGCATGGAGCATATGTTTTTCCTCACTCGTCTATTTCTTTTTCTCGTTGTTTCTGATTCGAGCCACGCCGTCCGAGAAACATGACGACCAGGTACGGATCCATTAATCTGGTGGGGTGGTCAAAAGTCCATCCAAAAGGTCAAAGTGCAAAGGGCCAGGCCATTCAATTTCTCCAGAAATAGCGTCATGTCCATATCACTGACAATGACTGCCTGCCTCCGTGGTCTAGTAGTAGAGCACCTGGTCGTGGGTTCGATCCCCTGCCGCGTCGTACCAAAAGACGTTAAAAGATGGTCCTTTGTGTTACCCTGCCTGCCGCTCGGCATTAAAGGGATTAAACAAGGACTGGTCGGCTCGGAGTCAGCATACTGTGTCTGAGTAGGGTATTCATGTGAAAAAATTGGGCATGGTTCCTCAATATTGTCTCACACACACACAGTTCACTTTACTATGTATGTGCGCATTAGGCTTGTTGGTAAATAAGTGTTTGTTTGCTCGTTTGTTATTTTTGCACCGCATATGCCCCCCGCTGTATGCCGCCGGCCTGTAAATGACCGAGTCGGTGATTGACATGATGAGTTACGATCAACTACGCATTCACACGCAATCAACCATGTCACCTCCAGAACCATTTGTCGCCTAGAACGACAAGCATGTGAAAAAACAAATGTAGTATGTTGTAGGCAGTAAAATAGACTGAAAGAGGATCTTGTTATTAAGAACCCCTCCTTTTTAAAAATCCTTGATCGGCCCTTGAGGTTTAATAAGTAAAACATGTAGCGAAATGTAATACCTAGCTACCTATAGAAGTTTCATCCGAATAATCCGAATATGTCAAGTGTCTTACTTAGGCCAGGGCTCAATGATCACGATATACATTTGCTAAAGCACTAACCGTTGTAAATAGTCGACATGATCTTTGAGTGCATGTGTAATTGTATGAAGCGGCCGTAAAATACGAGTAGGGCTGTTAGTTATATTCGAATCCACGATGTTTTGCAAATACGAGTTCTACACAACGATGTTCGAGTGTACTTAATATAGTGTTTACTGTAATATCACCATGGCAAAATGTCTTGTTGTTTGTGCGTACTGTGTATGAACGAATACAGTAACTAGAAATAAAACACGCGAGGCAAATTTTGTGAACCAGTGGAGATGACACAAAAACTGATTGAGTGAGTGAGTTAGTAGAGTTTTACATACCGTTCAGCAATACGTGTACGGCTAGGAGGTGATCAGCATTGGTGGCCTAAACATATACCTAATCGCATCCTCGTCCCGATGTTATAAAACTGAGTACCACTATATGCTCATATTCGGTTTGTGCTCAAATTAAAACTCAATAAACGACGGTTATAAATAAGAGTACGTTTCGTGCTCCACTTAGCATGAAATGCGTAAGATCTCAAGTATACTGAGGCGTGCGCAACGCTGAATTCGATGTCAACAATGGCAGGTCACCTGCGTTAGCCTCAGCAATCTAGGCGGAAAACCCGTGCTCCGCGGGTGTTTCGGGATCGAACAAACCTGTTTAGACTTTGATGCTCACGGAGTCTTTGAACGGTATCGTTTTAGACCAAGAACGATAATTTGTTTACTTGGTTTTCTTGATTTAATGGCGAACACAGCTCGTAATTGTGCGCTGCCACCTCTCGGTCTGCCCGTTCTGGAGACTGGATCGGTGCGTGACAGCCGCATCTTGCGGAGGTCAGCACTATGCAGTCTATTTGAAAATGGTACGATATTTTTAAGAACAATTATTTAAGAGTATTTTGCTAGTGAAATAAGTATTTATTTTATCCTATTACAAATAATGCCCAAAGAGTATCATTCCTAATCATTGGTTAAGATGCCAAATTAAAAAAAAAAAAAGTCAATGTAAATCAATACACAATTATGTTTGTATGACCTCTCATTGATTTCAAGTGACCTACACAGGGCAATTACTTTGGAATCCGAGATAAATCACTGCTTAAAATATCAGAATCCCCATTATCATGTTAAGTCATTAGCTTAGCTCAGTATACTACTTTTAATCTTTTTTCTCTTACTGGTCTCATTTTGAAATACACAATGTCATTTAGGATGAATGTATTAGTTCCAGCAGAAAGTGTTATTTCATGTGTTTTCAAGTGAGATATTGAAATTTGTTTTTTCAGATATTTCATGAATACCTCTTTATAATGATTATACTTTATGGCCCATTAAACTCATGACTAGATATCATACATTCTGAGATATATTTTTACCAGTATTCATATAAAAAGTTTTATTCTTGCAATAATAATAAATGACCTGATGTTATTATGTTCAAGGGCCGTACACTGCCCATCTTCATTTCATGTCGACGGTTCCTCTTGACGCATTTACTGAACTCCACGTATATATCATTATAACTTTGTACGTCACATTTAATCCCTAAGAGGCGTTAGTGATATGTCAAATGTTTAGAAATTTCATTTTTTAGTTAAAGTGATAAGCAGATACAGACGTCTTTCATTTTCTTGATTTAATTTCAAATTAATTTCTCTCCTCCTGGCCCCCTTCTTTCTATCTTTTCAAGTTCCTACTTTAAGCAAATTACACAGGACAAATGGTTTCATTGATAATTATGTTTGTCGAGAAGTTTCAGCATTTAGTCGTGTCACAACTTTTGACATTTTCATTACCAGTATTTTTATTTAACTTGACAACGGCTGTACCGGTCTGTGGCACAAAGCTATTTATGTAGTCAGCTCAAGCATACCTACACCGGGTTCTTATAAGCGGTGGCTGATCGTGTGGTAATGATATATTCAAAGCGGTTTTGCCTTCAGGAAACTGTTTTCTACGCAAAATAAATAATCAAGACGGCTTCCCTGCGACCAACAAGACATCCGTGACGCAGGGTTTACACCAAGTCTATTGTGTGGGATCTACTAGCATCATTACCATTAATGTATTAAGTTAAGAAATACTGTATCAATCTTAAAATTATAAAAGTTCTCTCCCTTCATTATTCTTTTTTTCTAGAACATACACAATCACTGAATATAGAATTAAGTATCAACAGTTTAATTCCCACCAACCTAAATGATAATTGATCTTGACATTTTTTGATATTTACACTGTTTGTATTCATATGCAATAACTCAAATCTCCAGTACGTACAAGAAGTAGAGATTACCAGCTAATAATGTCTGCGAGTGAGTGAGTTAAAGCCACTTTAAACAGTATTTCAGTTATGCTGGGCGTGTCAGCTTGATGTGAGAGGAAAGCCCAAATTCATGAAGGTATTCTCGGGCATGTGTATGTACTGACAAACAGTGATAATCATGGCGAACCGGGATTCGAACTCACGACTCAGAAGAAGAGGCAAGGTGAAATGAGGTTTAACGTCGCGTCCAAGATTATTGCACTTATATAGCGACGTGCATGCACGTGTGTGTTTGTGTGTGTGGCTGCTTGTACTAGTCCGGACTGATGCCGATTTATAGTGCTAGCCCACTGAGATACCATGCCGCAGTTTAACATGAATACCCCACTCAGACACAGTATACTGACTCCGAGCCCACCAGTCCTTGTTTTAGCCCCTTAATGCCGAGCGCCAGACAGGGTAACAACAAGTACCATCTTTTAACGTCTTTAGGTATGACGCGGTCGGGGAACGAACCCTGGACCTTCCGCTCTCCGGGCGGACGCTCTACCACTAGACCACGGAGGCGGTCCACTCAGAAGAAGACCCGGGTTCGATTCCCGACATGGGCACAATGTGTGAAGCCCATTTCTGGTGTCCCCCAGCCATGATATTGCTGGAGTATTGCGAAACGCGGCACAAAAACCATACTCACACACTCCACGCACACTTCCTTTCCTGGTGAGGGAGTACGTGAGTACGGCGTTTTTAGCAATAGTCCAGCAATATCGCAGCTTGGAACACCCGAAATGGGCTTCATACCTTGTTCTCGTGTGTGGGATTGATTGTTCTCAGCGTGACGAGCGAACGCTTTAGCCACTTGGCTACCCCACCTTCGATTTCTAGCACACGAAACATAACTGAGTTGAACACAAAAAAGCTGAAACATAAACAAGATACCTTTATAGCCAGTTTACTTGAAGAAAAGTCACAGATTATTCTCAAACCATGATGAAGCCAACCTCCAGAGTAGACGCTCCTTCAACCCAAAATTGTCCCAGAGGGACCTCGAAAAAGCATCACACATAATTAAAACGTCCGCAACTCACCGCCTTAGGTCGCACTTGAACAGTTCAGGTTTTACCAGTCAAATTACCCTTAATGAGATGGAGCTCGAGTACAGTAGAGCATATAACACCCAATATCATGAACAGCTCCTGTAATACCACCATCAGCACATCCAAAACGGAAATTGGTGTAGGTCAGAGAGAGGTGTGGGTTGTTGTAGCCAGTCCAACATCTTGTCAACTGACGTTATGTACACATCATTCAACTGTAAGATCTCATCCAGGAACTCTGTAAGTCCTTGTAAGCTGTCGGCAAAGTGGGTATGGAACCAGAACTGATGGATGCGGATGCCAAATGGGGCTTTGTTGCTGTTGTAATATCGCTTGAAGTTGTCCCAAAGGTAATCCTTGGTCTCAAGAACGGTCATCTGCTGAAGCGTGCAACTATCAGCGTATTTGCAGGTGGCGTTGGTCTGGTCTAGTCTGAGTGGAATGATCGGGACCTCCCACATGCCATGGTGAGGCTGTTTAGGGCAGGTTTCAATAAGGCACGGTTCACCCCAGCTATAATCGAGGGTGAAGGGCCAGAGGAGTTTCTGGTCGGAGTCAACAGTTAGAAGAGTCGAGTCATAGAATCTCTTTCTGTTCAGGATACGGAATTGTTCATCACCTTTCGGGTTCAGACCAGGACTACTCCAGCCAGAGACTTCCCCTGGATCAACTCCATACTGAGCCAGGTTGTGCAACTGGTTATCAATGTCCTGCTTTAAGAGGGAAACATTCTCGTTGTTTATTGGTTGCATCCCTGCAAGGGCAATCTCCACTCCGATACTGCTCAATGACTTGACAATGGTGTAGTTGGAATACTTATGAGACAGGAACAGTGTTCCTGATATATGACATCCATTAGGATTCCTCCTAGTTCCGTCAAATATGGACTTGATTTTAGGTTCCATATACGTGTTCACATTTCCATCCATGACGATGTATACAATTTGAGGCGTTTTTGGTCCATAAAGACCGCCTGGAATTTCGACAGATTTGCACAGGCAGTCAGGGAGGAAACAGTTGATATCCTGCTGACAGACACCATATGGAGGCTCGGTTGTGTATGAGTCGGGGGATACAGTAGGACTAGTGACTGGAGGGTTGTAGGGAACAGGAGGAAGAAGTCCGTGGTTTTGATTGGCAGTAAGAGCGTCTACTGGAGGCATTTGCTCATTCCCTGATGTGTTGATGAAAGTTAGAGAATCTACAAAGGGATCGGGACTTAGTGGTTCAGTGTGTGGTTGGCGTCCTCCAATTGGTTTTTCGACACTGACAATTTCTTGACGTTGTGGATCAGGGCTGATTGGTGCAACTGGACGCTTCTCAGTCAAATGTTGAGAGGAGAAGAATGCTGACAGTTTTTTGCTAAAGTCTCCCGATTGGTTTGGTGTTGTGTCTGTATCTAATCTACTAGGTTCTCCATGGGTACTAGGTTTGCCAAAGTTTATATTTGATAAAGATCCAATCTTCATGAATCTGTCCAACGGTGAAGCAGCTGCTGACGGCGGTTGGGTTGGTGGTGGCTGTGGTGGATTGGTCTCGCGGAAATGCAGGATGGGATCAAATGGATCTGGAGGTTGGGTTGCAAAATTGTCAGGTGGTAACTCCGGTTGATGGTTGGGAGATGGTTTTGAAGCTTTTATTTTAGACAGCATTTCTAATATTCCTCCCTGTTCACTAACTGCACCACTAACAGATGTAGTTGCTGTATCTACCAAACGAACGCCCTGTGCTGGTTCTGCTGCTTGCTGTTTCTGTTTCAACCAAGATTCCATCTTTTCCCGTTGTCTTGCTTCTTCTTCAAGATTTCTTGATGGAATATTTGCAGGGGCGGGTTTGTGATCATTTGGATTCCCAAATCTAAATACTATTTGTGGAACAGCTGGAGCAGCAGGTTGTTTGCGTTGTGATACGGGGGCCTGTACTCTCGTATCAGGTGGTGGAGGGTTATCAGTTAAATGGTCAGGAAGGAATGGAAGTTTAGATTGCGCTGGTGGCGGAGGGTAATCAGAAGGAGATGCTTGCTTCATTTCAGGCTCTAACGGCCCGAATCTAAAGGTCATCTTGTCAGCACTGAGAGAACTGTGTGTTTGAGAGGGTTCCTGTACCCTAGTGTCAGGTGGTGGAGGGTAATCAGTTAAATGGTCAGGAAGGAATGGAAGTTTAGATTGCGCTGGTGGCGGAGGGTAATCGGGAGGAGATGCTTGCTTCATTTCAGGCTCTAACGGCCCAAATCTAAAGGTCATCTTGTCAGCACTGAGAGAACTGTGTGTTTGAGAGGGTTCCTGTACTCTAGTGTCAGGTGGTGGAGGGTAATCAGTTAAATGGTCAGGAAGGAATGGAAGTTTAGAATGCGCTGGTGGCGGAGGGTAATCGGGAGGAGATGCTTGCTTCATTTCAGGCTCTAACGGCCCAAATCTAAAGGTCATCTTGTCAGCACTGAGAGAACTGTGTGTTTGAGAGGGTTCCTGCACTCTAGTGTTAGGTGGCTGTGCTGGTTGAGGAACACCAGAAACAGGAGCAAAGTTGTTTTCAGGTTCCATTGGTCCGAACCTAAAGGTCATCTTGTTAGTGTTATGGGAACTGGATGTTTGAGGAGGGTCCTGTGTCGCTGTAACACCTGGTCGTGGATGATCAACTAAATGATCAGGAAGGAATGGAAGTTCCTCCACCGGCCTTTCTGGGGGCAAGGTTGATTTGGGACTGTCATTGAATGCAGCATTAAAGTCCCTAGGCTGACCGAACCTGCTTGGATTTGACCATGGATCAACAGTCTGGCGAGCTATAGTTGTTTGTATGTTTGTATCAGAGCCTGGCACTGGGACATCTGGTCTATTGTTTTGAGATCTATCCATCACTGACATGTCATGGCTGCTTGATTTAGGAATCCGTCTTTCAGGTGTAGATTTCTTTTTCTTCATGGGTTCAAATATGAATTCTGGAATATCGGAAGGCTTTTTATGCGATGGTCGGTTGCTTTGACTTCTTTGAGGCTCGATAAAATCAAGGATATTATAGTCTTTATCCAGGCGTGCTTGATCATTGATAGAAGAGTCACGTCCCTGCCAGTCTCTTCCTGTTTCTGATGTTCGGGGCCGAGACTGATCACGACGTTTCTCACCTGGTGATGGAATGTGTCGCTTAGGTTCAACTTGTGTCTGTGGAGATGATGGTGGAATTGTTTTTGCAGGTAGAGAGCTTTGAGCATGTGAGTCATCAATATATTTAGAATGCAAACCATCCAGCTGTTCCTTAAGCCTTGCCAATTTCTCTTTCTGGGTCAGGTATTGAGCCTCTATGCTCTGTTTGAAGCTGGCAGAGCCTGGTGGCTCTTGGGATGGTCCTAGTTTGATCCCCTGCTTGTTTTGTTCTATTTGCTGAGGCACTTCCTGTGTTGATGCTGAATTAATCTTAATATTTTCAGGTACAATAGAAAGAGGTGTCTCCGGAGGAAAACCAGATGGCATACGTTCATTAATGGAAAAAAGTTTTGTATCTGATCGGATGTTCGATCTAGGGAAAGTTCTTGTTAAAGCTTGTTCTGGTGTAGGGAATCTTGACTTTGTTTTGGGTACATGAGGCTTTGGTGTAGTTGTCGGATGTTGTGGCATTTGCCTATGTTGCAAATCAGGTTCAAAAAGAACTTTCATTGCCCTCCCCTCATTGCTGACACTGGGTACACTGCCTCTTGTATCAGGCACCTTCGATCCTATTGTCCATAAAATAGACGAGTGGCTATCCATCTCAGCCTGTAAAGGTTTTGCTCGCTCTGTTCGAGGTTTAGGTGTAGGTGCATCTGCTTGTGTAGTATCACTTCTTGGCTCCACCTGTGGCTTCCTTTTGATAGTATACACAATATTACGATGTGGTTCTACAGAAGGTTTGGCTTTTGGAGCATTATCAGTATTCTGATCCACTACATTTCCTGGTTGACCTTTACGTTCAAACAACCAGCTATGACTCTGCCACCACGATGAAGAATGTGCGTTCGATCGCGTGTCTTGAGGTTTGGTATCAATTTCTTTGTTTGCTACCTGTTGCTGCTCTTGAACAGTATCACGATGCTGTTGTAACCATGGTTGAGATACTCTCCGATGAAGGTGGGGATGATGATGCACATCCTTCCGTACTGGTATGCCTTCTTGAAACATTGTTTTTCTACTGCGGGCACAACCCCAAGGGTCAAAGTACTTAATAGCATCAAGCGGAGTTGGGTTCTTAAGCCATTCAATAACTTGGCTGACAGTAAGAATGTAGACATCATCTTTCTGCGACAAAGCTTTGATAAACTGGTCCATCGCTTTCAGTCTGGTTGAATCATAAAACCAGCCAGCATGCATATTGAATCCAAGTGGGGCACGGTTACCTTCATAGTAGCGGTTGAAATTATGCCACAGCAGCTCTGAAGCAGCTGATTGGTTGCCCCATGGTATGGGACATGCATCGACATAGACACATGGTCGATCGTGAGTCATGCGCAGTTCTACAACCGGAACCTCCCAGAATCCTTTGTGAGGCTTGGTTGGGCAATCATTAATCCTACAACTGAAAGGCCAACCATAATCCAGTGTAAACGGTATAGGAAATGATTTCCCATGGCCATCCGTTTGTGCTGTAGAAAGCGTTGCATCATATTTAAATCCTAGATCAGTTAGATTCTGAAACTGGGTATTACCTTCAACTTCTAGATATGGGCTCCTCCAACCTGTGATGGACTTTTCAGGTATTCCTGCATCTACTAGTTTATCTTTTTGGCCTTGAGCTTCCTGAGCAAACGTTTCTGGTGTAAGATGATCGTGGGTTACGCTGTGAACTCCAATCTCCATTCCGTGGTCGTAAAAGTCTTTTACTTGGGAATATATTGTATCTTTATCTGACACAAACAATGTCATGGCTATAGGACAACCGTTTGGATTGTACCTATCTGGTGGAAATAATTTCTTGTAATAAGGAATAATTTGACTGGCAACAGCGTCGTCGAAGGTAAAATAGACCATTTGGGGCGTCTTCTTCCTAGGAAAGGGCATTCTATCCCCGCAACACATGCAGTCTGGAGGTTTACACATACCCCTTTTTTGACAGATTCGGCAGGATCCAGGCAGAGGGCTCCCTATAGCGTTGATCACGAGGACCAATACAAGGCACATCCAAGCTACTAAGACCTTCATGTTTCACAGAGAATGGTCAGTATGTATTCCAGATGTCTTCAAATTTGCATGTCCACGTATGTAAATCACTCCGTGTCCACCACCGATGAACGAAAATATTAACCTTTAACACAAATCCGTTGCACGAAAAGAGTATTCGAAAGCCTTTAGTGTCAAGGTCAGTCGAAAATGTTAAAGGTCACTTGAAGACTTGTAAGACCTTTGTATTAAACACGCTAGAGCTCCAAAGACCTGCCTGGTGGATGGTGGGTAGCCTCACAGTGCCAGACGCACTCATGCCATCATAACGGATCATGTGACGTTGCGTGCATGATTAACACAACCTCTGACCCGAACATGCCGTCTGTCTTAGAGATAGGCATATTCAACAGTGTCACGTTTTGGTGTCACGTTTACGAGTGTCTTTAACCATCCGAGGAGACTTTAAATGAAAAATCGTGACCCCTGCTTTGCGCTAACAGCAGGTAACTGCATCCATATACAATATTCCGTTGATGGGATTGACATCTGTGTATTTAATGGACAACATGGTAATAAATATGTAGTTTCACTGTACATTTGGTTTGAGTAATATGTCCCCTTGAAGCAGTCAGACTGTAGACAGCTTGGTTGACAGGGCATAACTGTACGTGTCACTGGGCTGGAACAACCTCTCGCTATGCTGAATAAGAGGTTGTTTTTTAAAGCTCACAGGACAATGGGTCTTAAGTCTGACAGCAATTAATTATTGCTACCGTGTGTGAAAATTATGTTTTTATTTGTATTATACAGTGGTTATCTTATTTCCTTTTAATGATAAACTGTGCGGTTAAATGTGAATTTACACACTTTTGAGAGTTCGTTCGTATAAGTGGGGTGTTTGAACAGTGTTTTAGTTACAGCACGGCATGTCAGCTTAACATGGGAGGAAAGCCCAACGATGACACGTCTTAGAAAGGTCAGTGGGTTAAGGAAAAGGTAAAAGGCGAGATAATAATTGTATTAATATTACTACTGACACGGTCTTATTGGCACTATCTTTGAAAGGTACCACTTAGTGATGCAGGTGACAGATGAGACCTATGACAAAAACATAAACTGTTGCTCAGGTCATGATGAGTTGTTGTAAAGGTACTATTATTTGAATGCACAATATTGACTGAAGATTGTTTGTTTGTTATTTAACGCGCACACAGCAATACTCCAGCTATAAGACGGCGGTCTGTAAATAATCGAGTCTGGACCAGACAATCCAGTGATTGACATCATGAGTATCGATCCACGCAATTGGCATACACTGACATGCATCAACCAAGTCAGCGAGTCTGACCAATCGATCACGTGAGTCGCCTCTTACGACAAGTATAGTCGCCTTTCATATGGGTTGCTGACGAACAATTCTACCCAGGATATTCACGTGTCATTTACAGAAGTATGAACCTTGTTCACAGAAAGTGTACATTTTAGTGTACCACTCTCTCTGGCAATAACAAATATAAATTATTTACTTCAAAATATATTTGCCAATTCAAGCGTGAAGATGAATAAACACAGATATGTAAGGAAGTCGTAAGAACTAAAAACAATTTCCCCAGGACCCAACCATAACACACGTCTAGTCGAATATTACCGCCGGTTACATTACATTGGTAGTGTTTCAAATGTAAACTATCCATACGACCGTTCAACTGCAGAATGAATCACTCTGTATGTATGAATGACCTGATAAGCATAATGAGCGACATAATGACGTAATAAGCGCTGAGGGCGCTCTCAAAATTAGAAATAGGGGGAACTTATTAGAATATTATTTAGGTAAAAAAAAAAACAGAATTGAAAAATCGTAAATTTCGTGGTTTGGCGAACACAGAAAAAGATCTTTCTCCTTATTTTACGCCTTTAGATATGTATCTCTCTTACAAATAATACTACGCACATGCTTGCACGTATTAACTAACATATCTACGTGTTAGTAAAAACAGATCGTCGATGTTATGATCCAAACGTGAAGTACCGGTAATCAGCAGGTAAAGTTGTAAAACAAAAATACAAACATGCGTGTTTGTGATTTTCAAATATTACCTTATATCACTTACCTTTATTTTTCTGAGATAATGATGCTATATTTAATGTTTATTTCCACTTTTTTGTTTCAGCTACTCACTTGTAAAATTAACTTGTGTTTTCTTAAAACGTGTTTGTTGTTGTGATGTCAGCTATGCTACTGGTCATAACAGGTCACCAGTTGAACAATTGACATATCCAGCTTTTGAATAACATAACGTCACATGACATCACTGCCACAGGCTAATTTGCATATCACGTGACCGGACTTTTCCATCGTTTAAAAATATTTTCTCACTGAAAGCTAACCGTGAGATATGTTTATCTAGGTGTGTAGACTGGTCAAAAATGAAACAGAAGAAAATATCATTGTTGTTGATGTGAATAATATAAGTTGGCGCTGTCGGGGTAGGGGGTAAAACGAGGTTAACGGAAGTATCGGAGTGCCACACAATTTCGTCAAAACATTCATGGAAGCACTATTGAATGAAATTTTGAATAAAGTTAATAAGATGGATTACAAACATAAGTCCAGACATACTATTGTACACTTAAATAGTATTACAACAGTTTAACTGCTTAATTCAATACGGATTTATTGATATTCTATATCCGATGACGGATCATGGCAGTCATATATGGACAGCCTGAAATAATACTAAAAAAGGTATGTGTGTATATACATCAGAGATATATTTTTCCAGAACTGCCTATAATTAAGGGTGCATATTATACAGTAAATACATTTTGTGTACATTGATCAATCGGAAGGGGCGCTTATTGGGATTGTTCACAGCAATATGTTAGCTTTAGCAAATATCGCCGTAGACACTTATTAGAGCGGGACGCTTATAAAGGCAGTCTTGACCAACCAACCCAGTGACTGACGTCATGAGCTGGGATATGATGACATGCCACCCGATTCCGTTAGTCGCCTCTTAAGACAAGCATGAATTGCTGAAGACCTATTCTACCCCGGATTTTCAAGGGGTAGCAGTAGTAAAGTTTAGGGACGAACGTGAGCCAACTCTTCGACAGATTTTAACAGTTTGCTCTCGAAACATTCATAAGCGGCAAATAAATTTGTAAAGAAAATATAGCATGTAAGAATATGATATTTGTCTAAGGGGAAAGCTATATGTATGGTAAAACACCCACTCAAGGGTAAAAAACACACACTGGAAGACCCCCCATTGATGGGTTTAATTCACATTCAGTAAAAGAGCAGATGATCTTCAAACTAATCAAATGAAAAGGTGATAACAACACATCTATTTTTCCACATTTTGGACACAAAATTCAAAGTTCACCTTTTCGCGAACACATGATGTCATAGTGATTCCTAAACACGTGCTTATGATATAGTCAAAATCGTACAATAGTTGAGATTTCTTATGATTATTGAAATATATTTGTCGCTCTTCTTTTGAGAATCAAAGTAAATAGTGTGTAGATTGTCTTAAGTTCTGTCTCTTTGTTAATGTGTTTACGTTTCAAACACTTCTGTTCCGGCTGTGCCTGGGCTGGAATAATGGGGCTTTACTGTAAATGCCTACAAAGGCTTCTTGTGTTCAGATATGGAAGATTTCTTCTCACAATTTGTCGTCCTCACTGTCGTATATAATCCTCCTATCGTCCCGACGCCAGAGATAGAAACTTCTGATATTTCTCCGCATCCATCTGAAGTGTTTCACGAACGTGCCAATATCCATGAGACATATGATAACCAACATGGCGGCCAGTATGAAAATCCCGAGAGCTCCGATCCCCACAGCGCTAGGTCGGTTGTCCGGGACACTCTCCGTGTCGGACTTCTTCCGGATCCACACCAGGTTGTCCACGATGTTGGATGTTGTGCCTGTGGAGAGAAGGTGCATTCTTAGTGTTGAATCTGTGATCTACTACCATAAACATCTTTAAATGTTGTTTTCATTTTCCGCCTGCAGACGTTTGTACATTTAGGAATTGCGGTGACGATTTATCAAATTAACGTTTTCTTACCTTTAAACGTCGTCCTTGAAGTAAAGGGGGCGGTTGTAGTTGTGATGGGTGTTGCAGTAGTCGGTGGCGTTTGAGTAGTTGTTGAGGTTGTGGTAGTTGTAGTGGGAGTTGTAGTAGTAGTTGTAGTGGTAGTAGTGGTTGTAGTAGTGGTAGGTGTTGTTGTGGTAGGTGTTGTCGTTGTAGTAGGAGTTGTGGTTGTAGTAGTAGTTGTGGTTGTGGTAGGTGTTGTCGTTGTAGTAGAAGTTGTGGTTGTAGTAATAGTTGTGGTTGTGGTAGGTGTTGTCGTAGTAGGAGTTGTAGTCGGGGTTGTAGTTGTAGTGGGTGTTGTAGTTGTAGTAGTTGTTGTTGTAGTTGTAGTTGCTGGAACATAAACATAAACATTTCTGTCTAATTTTCATCATCATCATCATCATCATCATCATCATCATCATCATCATCATCCGTACATCAAATTCCTATTTAAAGGCGAATGTATTTTAATCATGTACGGAACCTCTTCCATACGCCATCCTTCCTGGCCCTGCCTTTTCCCCGACCTTAGCCCTGCCTTTACCCCAACCCTGTTCTGCCTCTACCGTCATCCTGCCCCTACCCAATCATGCCCCTGCCCCATCCTCACACTGGCCATACACCTATTCTGCCTCAAACCTCACCCTGCCCTGCCCCTGCCCCTAGCCAACTCTGTCCCTACCCCCACCATGATCCTACAACTCCCGTCTTACCTGGCAGTTTCTTGCAGATGTAGTTGTGGAAGTAGTCACAGGGCTGTGTAACGAGCCTGTCTGCAGACACCGCCCCACAGTTAAAGCCGTGCTTCACCGGCATGCCAGCCCACGTGATGAGAGGCGACCCGTCTGTCCACTTGTACACCCCGTCGACCTTCTCAAGGCCCACCCAAAAATTGTTGTCCTCTTCCCTGAATAGAAGTATGTCTTAGCTCAATGTTCCTCCATCGTCTACAATGTCATCATACGTTAACTCTAGAGATTGATGGTGACCTATACATCCTATCTGCCTAACTCTATTCTGAAATCGAGATGAACAGTTGATGTCCTGTCCTATTTGCCTTACTCCCCTCTGATCGCTATGAATCATTATCTAATCTCCTGACGCCACACAGCGTAAGACACATATCTGGATTGATGCAGCGCTGGTGCCATCCATTACTTCTTTTCCTTCTCACAAAGTGGCTATCGATGGTGCATGGGCATGAGCATGGACAGGACACATAAAG